AATCCAGGAACAAAGTAATTGAGACCCAGAGACGCACCCTCCTTGGGCATGGACCCTGGAGACTTGGCTTCTGGGGAAGAGAAGGGATTTACCTCTAGGGTTCCACTGGGAACCCTATTTGGAACATCCCAAATAGATGCTGACCAGGCTCTCCACTGGAGGTAGCCAACAGTACAGTTCCGGGACAGCATCAAGGGCAGCAGGGGGCATTTGGTGGTGTTCATACCAAGAACAGGAAACAACACTAAGTAGCATGGCAGGTTTAAAGAATATTTATTTCTTGGGATAAGCACACAGCCCACTTTTTGCCCTTGAACTTTTTACTAAAGACAAAAACTACAGTGAAATAAATATGGAAAGCCAGCCTAATATTTAATATACTGAGTTACTCTGCCTAGAAATTAACATCCTAGCAAATGACTATCAACAAGTAAATTTGTTATTTCAGTGGATCCTAGACTGCCAATAGAGCTACTTTTGCACCTTTAGATAGTAGAGATTCTGTCTCTTGAATATAGCATCCCGTAGTTTATTGGAGTATAACTAGGGGGCAGTAGCCTTGCAAAAAACATGGCCCTAAGGCAATGAGGAAAAAGAAAAAGCCCTGAAATTGTTCAGAAATAGAATAAATATGAATCTAGTTTCTCAAATAAGCAATTAATAGAGCACCTCTGTAGGGACAGAAACATCATGTATGGGAGAATTGTTCTCAGAATCACTAAAACTCAACCATGAGCAGTCAGCCAGAGCAGTCCTCCTGAGCTGCCTGCCCTAAAGCAGCAGGTTTCATTCTGTATTAATGTAAGGTGACTCCATTAAGAAAAACCCGACTTGGATATAAGAAGTTCATCCGAGTGAGCTTCCAATTGCCTGACTTTAGCTTCTGCAGTCTAATTAATGGGACTCAAATAGTTAGCAGAAAGGAGAGGCATTGATAAAGCCTGTGGGAGACCAACCTTGCACATGACTGAGTCACATTCCCGGGCTGGGTGCTGAGGTGTCAGGCAGCATTCTGCTAGACTTTCCCCACCCTTCTTGGGTTCCAGGGGCAGTGTTTGTGCATGGATGTGTCTTGCTACAGCCCTATGGGTGGAGCTATGCTCACCTGTTCCTTTGTGATATCACCCCTTGCCCTGTTTGGGATAGAATGTTCCATGGAAACACCTTTTGTGTGTCCCCTTCTCTTACCGTGCCCTTGAGTGTGGCCTACCTAGATGTCAGTCAACCTGCTGACAGTGGACATCATGAAGATAGACTCAGCCTCCTGAAACCTGACCCCTTGCCTCATTTGAATAGCTTTTCCTCAATAAAGGGGGTCAGCACGTGCTCACTCTCTCTTTCTGCGGACCCTTAAGGTCAGAGGAGCCATCACAGCGACCCCAAAGAAAAAGGTATTTTTGTCTCTTGTGTGGTTATTTCCCACAGCCCAATTAGACCAGTTCCCCTGGAGTGACTCCTGAGTGTTTTAGTCTCGAACAGAAACCTGGCAATTGGCGCCCAATGTGGGGGCAAAAGGTCTGAGTCTTTAAGCCTCTGGGACAAAAGCGACAAAAGCCTCCTTCCTTCACTATACCTCCAATTCAAGTTTCCTCCTGCTCTGTGGCTTAAATTAAGAACCACAGGCCAATAGCGCTTTTCTCGACTGATGCTCCTTGCCTGGGTATTCCTTTCTCTTGCAACCACAGGCTCCAGAACCAGAATGTCAGGAAAGCCTTCTCCACTCCATTAACTGCCCATATTCTACAGATTCTGACTTCAGGGGACTCTTTCTAAGAATGACCTCATTAGCATAATTAAAGTGTACCTGAGTTGTTAGAGATAGAATCTAACACCATGTGATGTGAAAAATATATCACACACCATCACACATATTAACTTGATTAAATTAATGCCATTTTAGCACATAATTAGTTCTTTATTATTAAAATCAGACATCGTGGGCAAGTAAGTTCCAGTTTGTGGAAAATCTGAATATATCAAGTAATTAGGTTCAATAAGAAAAGTTCACATGCCTGCAGGCCCAGAATCGTTTAAAATGCTGAATTTTGTTATGAACAAAAATTTAAACTACAATCTGGCATTCAACTTAATCCCTTTACTAGTGTTGTTCACCCACTCTAATCATGACCTAATCCTATTGGAAGGATCAAGTTTTTATAGAAAGTGAAAATTCCCAGTCTAGTTTAAAAAAGAAAATTCAAGCAATCTGAATCAACTTTGCCAAATAGTCTGGAGAATCAGTCTGTTTAGTGAGTGATGCATGAAAACAAAGATGCCATTAAAATACAACTTGGTAACCAGGCATTACCTATTTAATTGGTATAATATATATACAGAGTAATCTTAAAAAGCTTCATTTTATACAGAAACATTTACAAAATGAACAGTGTAATTAAATTAACGATTATCTATACAATGCACACACATATGTCTTCTGGAAGATAAAGGATTTTCATCATCACAGTCAAAATGGACAGCCATATGCATTTAAAAAAAGAATTCCATTTCAGAAGAAAAATACATTTTTTATATTCAATTATATTTTTGTTTTTCTGAAAATTCATGTTTGGATACTTTTTTCAATTGTTTCTCTTGTTCAGCCTTGAAAAATTTCAGGTTTCTAGTGCCACCAACTGGTGTTAGTTTAAAATTAATAATCTCAGTGTTAAAAAATAACATTTTGTTTAAAAAAAATCTTAACTGAAAAATAGGCTCCTAGAGTCAAAATTCATGAAATATGAATGACAACATGATTTATAAAAATATTTTCACCAGGGTAGCATATATAACATTTATAAAATTAATGGTTGCTAATCATCTTGTTTCCCTGCCCTCTTCTTCTTTCACTGGTAGGTAAATCTTGGTCTAAGTTTGTATGTAGAAAGTAAAAAAAATCCTTAGAAAAAAATAGTATACCACAAAACAAAGCTTGGAAAAATGCATGACAGCAATTAGATTCATCTTTGAACATCAAATAGGCATTAATRATTTAGTACAATCGTAAAAACCTAATGTCATTTTATGGTGCTCAGATTTTTTTCCTTTTTCTTAGAGACTAATTAAACATTAAACTGTGACAAAAGTCAGGAAATGTGTAGAACCACCATGAAAACAGCAATTTGCTCTCAGTATACCTTYGCAAGGTTTCAGTTTCCCAAGTTGCATGGCAGAGTGAAATTTCTCAGCCACCTACACGCCCAAGTAGAGTAAGCCTCTTCTCAGCCAAGTAGGGCTGGCATAAGCTAAGAGGCCCAAAGGCCAGTTCCTACTGCCTCCCAGCTATTTTTTTTTTTTAGACCATAAGTTCTCTATGATGATGTTTAATCGCAACATAATACCTATAAGGTAGGTTTACAATGTGTTTATTAAGTGAATCAATAACATGTTTGTATCCTGAATCACTTTAAATGATAATTAAAAACAAAACCAAAAAACACAAAAACCACCAAAGTTCAAATTAATTCTTCTGTCCAAACCCACCATTTTTGATCCTTATAACAGACTAAAGTGTGTATGGGATGAGAGACTGGGAGTCACAGCAAGTATTCACTTTCAAATCAAACCTATGAGGTGTACATACACACACTAAAAATTTCCTGCTCAACCATACCAAAATATTGCTAACAAAGAGCTATTGATGTGTACAATATCAAACATAAAACAAATTCCCTGTAGGTCTCAGGTTCATTATTCTCCAGACACCCCATTCTTCTCTTTCTCTATTCAATATAGTAACTGGTGGAAGGCCCTCCAAATCCTTACATCAGGAGCTGTTCGTAAATCAGGACAGAAATGGGTATCGCTAATACATGCATATTTTTATACAGTACTTTGCTCAGTCCTGATCCATGTATAAAAGGAAGCAGTAGATAATGAAGAACAAAAAGAAAACAAATTATTTCCTTCAAAAATTTTCCATAGTTTCTTAAGTTTATCAGGAAAAATGGCAACAATACTGCCAAAATATGGCTTTTAATAATTTTCCTCTAAAATGGCAGCAAATGGTGGCACAAATATTAATACTGAATGCTTCATTTTTGTCTAATGTATGTATGTGTATATATATATTTGAAATATGTGTAACTATATCAAATATATATGTATATATATTTGAAAGTGTATAGGCATAGAATACGATGAATCTGATCACTATTTGGCCTCCATTATACATTTTGTACCCTAGAGGGAAAAAACTTTAATCTTATAGTTTATGAATCTATAGCATATGAGAAACCAGGAAAAAATTAGATATGTTGCCTATTGTAAGTAGACTTTTGGAGTGTCAACCATATGTCTAGAAACAAATGGGAAAATAATTGATTTTATTGCACTTACCCTCTTATTTTTTTAATTTGATAAATTATTATTGATAAAAAGCAAGACATTAAAACTAATACTTTTTATAACTATTTTAAAAATAAAACATCTTTGTGCATTTTCATTCTGAAATAAAAAGGATATTTGCTTTTGGATGACAATGTATAATTTGACATGCACAAAAATTAAGACACTACAATAAATGACCTGATCTTTACTAAATTACCTTTTAAACAATGTTAAGTTGATTAAAAAAAAAAAGTTAAAACCCATTAAAAGGACATTGCCACAAGTCCAACTTCAAAAGCCCATACAGTTCTTTGAAGGCTTTTAATCTGTCACCCCCAAGGCTCACTTTCTTTTCGGTGCACAGGGATGGGGGTGAGTGGGGTGGGAAGGATGCCAAAATCTAAAACAAAAATGAGGTTTGTGGAACAAACCTGCAGATGAGCTAAGGTGTCTATTATACAAAGAATCCAAACATAATGCAAAGTCAAAGAAATTATARTAGGTGAGAAATAAAAGGAGGTAAGAAAAAAATCTGATGACAAATATTGATATGACTACAACATTTAAATCTACATCTAAAATAAATATTGTAAAAATCCAACAAAATATCGAAAAATATCAAAATCCAACAAAATACAATAATTTGGCTTAAAAATTCCTTTGGTTTTAGATATATAATTATTTTGTGTTTTAAATAAATATACTAAAACATCACATTTGGGGGAACTTCATGATCACTCCAATTTGATATATATTTAATTGTATCAGTAGTGAAGAATGGTGCTCAAATGGTTAACAAAGACATATGCTGCTTTCTCTTGGGAAACTGGCTCTTAGTAAGTACCTTAAAATACTAGTACATTTTATCTTTATATAATGTTAGTAAAATTAAAGTATTTCCATGTCTAAGAATTATTCATTTCGCTGTTCTAATGATTGGATCCACTTCACATTTTAAAATATAACTGAAGTCCACAGAAAATTTTTCAATAAACATGTTATTTTAAACCGTATTTAAAGTAACTAAAGATTTTAAGAATTCAACTATTAATCCAAATATGAAAAAAAATGGACCTACGATAGACAACGAAACCTGACAGAGACATTCAATGTCCAACTATTGCCATTCACCAACAGCTGGCTTTTCTATTAAGTTCAGTTTTCATTAAAACAAAAATTTAAGTACTCAAATGCATCCTTAAAAGACAACCAAATATTATACTGGAGTGTCAAAACATTTTTTTTAAATGTATTTTGAGATGGGGTTTTGCTATGTTGTACAGGTTGGCCTCAAACTCCTGGTTTCAAGTGGTCCTCCCCCTGGCCTCCTAAGTAGCTGGGACTATAGGTACACACCACTGTGTCTAGCTTGAAACAGGTATTTTTATGATGTCTTTACTTTTCTTGGTGTTGTGGAAATTGTAAATCAATGAATAAGTAACACTTCTTTGTCTTTTCATGAATCATTTTTAAAGTTGAATAATTTTTGACATATTTTAAAGGGAAAAAATATGAAGAAGGGTTTTTTTTTAAAGCCCTTTTAGTAATGTTCACCACTTAAGACTATGAGCAAATTAAGYTGTTCAGACTCAATGATAGGCTGTTGTATTGCACCATATAAAACAAATTTCTCAAAGCCTACACTCTTACAGTATGCACAGCAATGCATCCATTTTTAAAAGGACACTTTTTTATACAGATGAAGCAAAACAAATTTTGACTGGCTTATACACAAAGTAGGGAAAAGTTTCCAACAACACTGGTCAGTGGCACCTGCTCCTGGGTGGCTTTTATCTGTTTACTGGGCAAGAACTTTGTATTAGGTTTTCTTTGTCCTCTGCTCTAGTTCATGCTGGTGTTTAATAAGACGTTCTATTTCTGTTCCAAGTGTTTGTAGATTTTCCTTTAATAGTTAGGGGAAAAGAGAGAAAACAAAACTACTAAGTATAATAAATAAAAAGATTCAATTTGAACTATTTTTGCCTAAATTTTGAAACTGAAGGAGTGGTGGTTAGTCCAAAAATGCTAAGTGAATTAGTGAATTGAATTAGATACACAGATTTTTTAGTAAAGTAGACCTGTCCTTTTCAAAGTTATGATATTGGGGATTAAACCCAGGGCCTTGCACATGCTAGGCAAGTGCTCTATCCCTGAGCTACATCCCCTAGCCCACTTTTCTAAAATTTTATTTTGAGAMAGAGTATCATTAAGTTGCCCAGGCTGGCCTTGAACTTATGACACCCTCCTCTCTCAACTTCCCAAGGAGCTGGAATTATAGGTGGTTTCATTATGCCCAGCTCATATTTAACCTTTTTATCATAGCTATAGCAATTCAATACATAAAATGATTAATTATTAGATTTAAAAATTATTTTTAAAACCCATTACTAATTATCAAGGCCCATGTTCAACAAATAGATAAAGCTGCAGAAAATAAAAGAAAGCTGGAAAATATATTAGAAACTCCATAGTCTAAAGTGTTTCRACAATGACCTGTAATAGCAATGTATGTCAAAGGTCATCCATTGCAAAATATATAATTCATCCTACTACCCATAACTAAACTGACTTAGTTTGAAAATTATACTTTCAAAATAGAAAAACATTAAATTTTTATCTCTTGAGTAACAGAAACCTATCAGAATTAGCCCATCTAAGTGCCAGATGAGACTAAGAAAGAGGCACCATTTTACTTATTGGTAAGTGAATGAGAAACACAAATACCTTCAAAGTAATATTTTTTAGTAATGTATCCTCCAAAACAGCCTGCAATTTTCGGTTGATTTCCAAAGACAGTTCCAGTGTTAATCCACTATCAGCAGGATGAGATGTATATAAAGATGCCATGATGCCACCTCGTCTACTTAAATGGACTTTGTTAAAATCAGAAGCCTCTGAAGAAAGTGTGCCTGATTCTTCTCGTAAAATGTAACTCTGAATTATTCTGCAAAACAAAATGACACTATCAATTGTGTACCTGAAGAATTAAAAATACTGGAATTTGTAAGAATCAGCTAAGCAGAAGCATAAAGAGGCCTAGCATAAAATAAGTACCTATTAAACTAATAACCTAATACATTAGAAAAGAATTTTCCTTATTCAGATGGTTTCTTCAGCTATTTTACTTTTATTCTATCATGATTAATGATATATACACTGCTTTTTAAGTTCCTTTCCTTATTTACATAAAATATTTAAGCAACTATTTTATTGCTCATATTTCTATTAATATTGTTTTCCTATTTTTAAACTTTTAAAAAAAAGTAATAGGCAAACTTTTAGTTACATATGTAAAATTAAAATGGCTTAGGAAAAGACCTGCAATATCAGAGCAACATCTCTTATTTAAATGAGTACAGTATCAGTGAGAGGAATATGGCATAGGACAGGCTCTGGAGTCAGTCAGAGCTGGGTCTGAATCTCTAGCTCAATGTCTGTCCCTCACAAGAGGATAATCCTGACAGATAAGAGTGACTTTACCTAGGCCCCAGTTAACTTATCTGCAAAATCAGAGAACTCACTCTCACTCAGTGGCTGTAAGTAATCGGTAAGATAARTGCTAATAGGCATAGTACAAGGAATTACCTAATTATATTTTGCTCAACAGGAAAAAAAATATCCAAAACTTCATATGTCTCTTAGAGTCATAAACATGAAAATAAAAAGCCAAGTAACACACTACTGAACTCTATGTCTTCTTCAAGGGTCTTATGCATGCTAGGCAAGTACTCTACCACTGAGCAATACTCCCAGCCCTAGATCTATGTTTTCTTTCATTTCTGTATTCCCCAAACCTAGAATACAGTAGGTGATCATAAAATATTTGGAACCGAATGATTATAAGAATTATTAAGCTGGATATGGTGGCACACACCTGTAGTACCAACTATTTGAGAGGCTGAGAAGCAGGGATGCTTGAGCCCAGGAGTTTGAGACCAGCCTGAGCAAGATGTGAGACCCTTTCTCAAATTAAATAAATAAATATTTTTTGAAAGACAGAATTCTTGATATGATTGATTTTTGAAAAGAGTGCTTTTACCATGAGAAGTATAGACTTGGAACAGATAGTGCTACCATAATAATACATACTTTGTTTTTTTCCTAATTTCTTCCACCAATTGTTTGATGTGGTCTTCCATAAATTCTATCTTTTCATTTTTCCGGGCATGTGCTTTCTGTAACCTAACTATCCTCTCAATCAGCATGGCCTTGTCCAATTCTGGAAAGTTATCCACAGCTGCTGATGACCCAGTGTTTTCTGGAGATCGATCTTCTGCACTGCTCCGAGCATTAAGGGACCCTAAATGATATGCACACATACAAAAATTATGATATTATTAAGATATTATTTGTAGTCTAGCATGCTAGACTCTCATCTCATGTATCATTTATTTTGGTATCATTTTCAAATATTCACCCTAACATAGCTGGATATAGAACATATCATAGGTCATTGGCTAACCAATTTCTTGTGTCTGAGTATACTGGCAATAAAATAGCAAAGCATCCGTCTATTATGTCTCTCAAGAACAGGATGTGAAAGTAGCAACAGAGAAACAAAAGATCTAAGAGAAAGAATAACAATTACAAATCAGACCAAAATTAAAGTAAAAGAAAACAGAAAACAAAAAACAAAAAACAGAGGGGGGCAGAATGTAGGATATAGGAGAAGAGAAGGAAGACAGAATATAGTGGATTATGTTCCAGAGCCAATCTATCCAGGTTCAAATCCTACTTTTCCAATTATTAGTTGTGTGACTTTGGACAAATTATTTAAAACTCTCAGTGCCTTGGCTACTTCATGTCAAAATGGCATTAGTAATATTATTTACCTTTCATAAGATTATTAATATATTTATCTCATTTAGATGAGTTAATATATGTGAAGCACTCAGAACAGCGCATTATAGTAAGCAATTAGCTCTTAATTTTTACCAATACCAGTGAAATGAATTTTTGGTCCTCTTTACCCTATAAAAATCTGTTTCTCAACCCCACTGTATAGATTTAAGATAAGTAATGTATCTTATCTAAAATTATATAATACATTGCAGAAACTGGGTGTGATGGCACATGCCTATAATATAAACATCTCAGGAAGCTGAGACAGGAGAATTGCAAGTTTGAGGTCAACCTCAGCAACTTAGTGAGAGAATAGAACAGAATATAAATAAAATATAAATAAAAAATGGCAGAGGTGGGATATAAACATGCAACAATAATTTCAAATTCACATTCTTTCTACTACACATTTTTTCCACTATTGTAATAGCTGATAATATTTTGCCCCTCTAATGTGCAATTCCTAGGAGACAGTATAATGTAGAAGTTATAATAGACAGAGAATCCCAAATTTTATTACAAAATAATTATATAAAACTTCAATATTTTATGTTTCAAAAGGAAACAAAGCATATCAATATTTTTAAGACCCCAAATGCTATTTATTTTTATATTCAATTACTAAATAACAACTAAAACCATTGTTTTTTTTTTTTTTTTACCTGATGAACTAGAACGACTCCCCATGCTGCTAACTTCTTTATCGTAGCTTCCATTCTCAACCTGATCTAATTTTCTTCGTGCTATAGGAAAAATAAGTGGATTACTTACAATAATCATCATGACCATCCCCCCCATCCATCCCTGATTTTAGTTGCTAAATTCACTTAGTAAAAAATGGCATAGACTATAATAATAATAAGACAAAGTTCTTGAATACCTACCTTAGAAAGCTGTAGATGTCATTCATATAAAATGACATTTGGAATTGTACAGGTCAAATACAAAATATACAAAAATGACATTATGATAACTGACACTGGCATCATTCAGTTGTACTGAACTTAATTTTTCATAGTCCTGACAAAAGCTAGGATTATAGTTCAGAGCACTTTCCTAGCATGTGTGAGGCACTGGGTTAGAGCCTCAGCACCACATTAAAAATAAATAAATAAAAGAAAGGTATTGTGTCCATCTACAACTTTAAATAGATAGATAGATAGATAGATAGATAGATAGATAGATAGATAGGAGTCCTGACAGATTTAGAGGATCCTACCAGAAATTTCCCTTCAATTATAAGTACAAAAACAACTGAATTCTTATAGTAAATAACTGAACATATTCATGTTAAGTAATACATTTCACCCTATTTGAAAATAAATAAAGTTGTGGAAAATGGTAAGAGAATAGCTAGTTGGAATACTTGTCTTATTCATCTTTGTCCAAGCACATAGTACAGATACCCAATAACCTCTATGCATTTTAAATTAAAGAAATCTGGGTTTTAATTCTAGTTGACCATTGTTGTGTTCAGGTAATTTATAACCTTTCCAGGTCTGTTTCCTGAGACCCAGATGCAGAGCTAGGTCTCAACCATCTCTAAGTTAGAGACAAGATGTAGATCCAGGTACCCTAAATGCAGTACAGATCAATTCATAGGCATATGTAGGTAGAAAATATTACAATTTTTATTTACGCTTAAAGATAAATCTTTTCAAATTTCTATTTTTATCTAACACATCTAAAATGCATAAACAAACACATAAATTGGAGAAAACCAAATATTTTTTACTGATAAAAAAGTATGTAATCAAAAAAGTTTAGACACTCTTGCCCTAAGGTAATACCTACCACAATTCTTACATTCTGTGGCTCTGTGAATAAATATCCTTTAGTATAGCAGGCAGTTCATAGAACTGCAAGGTTAGCAATTTATCTATGAAAATTACTATGTAAAAAGGAATAAATGGCTCCAGTAAATGTGGTAGAACCTGAAATATATTTTTTCTATAAAATCTTTAATGATTAAAAGAAATAAATATATTCAAGGTCTAAATGAGGAAGAATTTTATACCTTGCTGAAGTTGCTTGGTAAGATCCTTGACATTAGAGGCATGTTTACGTCTTTGAGTTACTAACTCATCTTTCAATTCTTCTACCTGGGTACTCAATGCTTTAACTTCCGTTTGTTTACACATAAGGTCAGCTTGAAGAGTCTGGACTTCCTCTTTTYGAAGTTCTTCCTCTTTTAACAGTCTACTTTCCTGAATATTAAGTAAGATAAATGAAAAAAAATTTTAAATCATATATTTATTTCTATTATTGCTCAATTGACAACCTTAAAAATATATGGTCCCTGAGAGACAGTCTTCTATCACTCCTCCTTACAAGGTTTTATTTATTGAGCTCCTCCAAATTCTCATATAGTGAGGCAAAGGGATACACTAAATGAGTGTGTTGTTCTGCACATGCAAAACTACCTGTGACACAGTACTTCGAATTTTTGCAATTTCAAAAACTCAAACTATTTTTTTTATATTTATTTTTTAGTTTTTTTTAGGTGGACACAATATCTTTATTTTTTATTTTTTTTATGTGGTGTTGAGGATCGAACCCAGGGCCTCGYGCATGTTAGGCAAGCGCTTTACTGCTGMGCCACAATCCCAGCACAAACTCAAACTATTTTTATGAATATTTGAAGACATTCTAATAACTTGGAAATATTAAACCACTTTGAAACTATTTTTAAAAACAAATTTAAAGTATTACCTTTAAAAAAATATATAATGATTCTAGTTAAGAATGACAGAAACCATGGCTTTCTTATTTTCAAAAGTGAAACATTCTTCTTTATTATTTTAGGGAGAAAATTTATTACAAATCACATCAGTTGAAAGGAAAAAACCAACATTTTTAAAAATACATATTTTTTTAGTTGTAGATGGACACAATACCTTTATTTTATGTGGTGCTGAAGATCAAAGCCAGTGCCTCACAGATGCTAGGCAAGTGCTCTGTCACTGAGCTATAGCTACAGCCCGCACATTTTTTTTTAAAGCATTCGAAATTACCAGAAAGTCAGTGCCAATAGAAAAGTGCTTAAATTAACTACTACTACATTTTTATGCCATGAGGAAATTTTAATCTGTGTTTCTTGTTAGTTGTTTCAAGAGTTAAATATATATATTTATACTTACCAAATTAGTATTTGTTTGTCTCATTTGTTCACATTGGTTTTGCAACTGACTTTCACTACAGGAAAGTTTATCATATTGTGACTGCAAAGAATTGCACTCAGATTGAAGCTGTGCATTCTTACTAGTGAGCTTTTCTGTGAACAGCAGTAGCTCAGATTCTCTTTTCCTACTTCCTTCGATGTCTTTTTGTAGGTCATTAATCAAAGAATTAAGACTTTCCATTTCTTCCTTCAAATTTTCAATTTCTTGCTTACCTCTAAAAAACAAAGTTTATATTTCAGAAAATATGAGACTATTAAGAGACATTAAATTAATGGTTTTGGGAATTTTAAAATTTCATTAAAATTTTCAATTTAAATGCAATGCTTTATAAAGGTACTTTTATTCATTCATCCAAATATTTATGAACGAATAAAATGACAGGAACTAAGGGCTGAGAGTATAAGTGAGCAGGGCCTACATGCTCCTGCTTTCAAAGAACTTTTAATCAAGAAGGGAAATTACACGAGTGTGATAACTGTTTCTGATGAAAACACGGCAAGTTGCCTAACTTCATATAAGTGATGCTCAAACTAATACTTAAAGTAGCATTTACTGTCTGCAAAGGTCCGGTCAGTAGATAAGCTGGGCATCTTAGCATATGGATTTTGTTGCAATCGTTCCACTTTGCCACTGTAGATGAAAACAGCCAGAGACAATATGTACAAAAATGAGTGTGGCTAGATGCCCAGAAAACTGCACTTACAAAAAGAGGTGGTGGGCTAGATTTGGCTTATGGGCCATAATTTGTTATCCCTCAAAAAGAAAAAAAAAAAAAAGGAAAAAAGAAAAGCAGAAGTTTGTGGGAAAAATTCAAAATGAGTTCCAGGAAGAGGAATGAGTATGTGCTAAAGCTGGAAAGGGAAAAGGAGAAGGGTTTCTGGTTGGTACCAATAGGTGTTCAGAATTGATGATAATCAGGACTTCACTACATCCTTAGCACTTGTCAAGGGCTTGACTGGCCTTAAAAATCCGTTAACAAACTATAGCTGAAATATAAGAGTGAAAAAGAGGAAGGCACGAAGAAGCAAGGAACAGGTCACTAATCTCAGAAGCCATGCTAAGGCATTTGAACTTCCTAGGCAATCTTTGAGGCAATGGGAAATCACTGAAAGGTTTTGATAAAACGTTCTTTTTAAAAAGTTTATGCTAATAATAGTATAGGAAATGTCCTGGAGAAAAAGTAAACAGAAAAATCAGTTTATGAGCTATGGCAGTTTTCCAGATGGGAGCTGACAATGGCTTGGATGATGGTGGTAGGAGAGGGAATATAAAAAAGTAAACAGAGGGCTGGGGATGTGGCTCAAGCCGTAGCGTGCTCGCCTGGCATGCGTGCAGCCCGGGTTCGATCCTCAGCATCACATACAGACAAAGATGTTGTGTCTGCCAAGAACTAAAATAAATAAATATTTAAAAATTCTCTCTCTCTCTCTCTCTCATCTCTCTCTAAAAAACAAAAACAAAAAAAGTAAACAGACTTGAATGATATTAAACACAGGACACATCACTAATACTTTGGGACTGGCTAGGTATGTGAGAGGAGGGAAGGAAGAGCCAAGCATGACCCCTAGGTTTCTGGGTTAGACAGTCATTTCGGTGCTAAACTCATCACTTATCCCAGAACATGAAAGAAGAAGCATATTCGTGGACAGAAGAAAGGACTCAATTTTGGATATATTAAAGTTTAAGGTGTTTTTGGTACTTATGCGCCTAAAGCTAAGCAAAAAGGGCTGACAATAATGATTCAAAGAATCTGATGCACATTAGAGGAACAATTAGGATCACTCAGGGAATGACAAAATTTGAACACAAGAGGGTTTTCTGACAGAAAGAAAAGCCTGATAAAGAGACTAAGAAAGTGTGGCCCAGAAGGCAGGAACACCCAAAAGGCATGATAAAAACAGAGCCAAAGGAACTGAGCATTTCAAGAAAGGTAAGTTTAACACTGTTAAAAGATCCTAAAAATTTAAGCAAAGCTGGGTCTGAGCTATATCCACCATAGTTAAGGGGATATTAAATTTTATGGAATGCTGAGATCAAAGTTAGAATAGAAAGAAACTCAACAAAGGAAGTAAAGAATTGGGGAATGAGTACAGCTAATTTWAAAAAAAATTAATTACTTTATTTTTTATTCTAATTTGTTATATATGATAGCATAATGCATTACAATTCATATTGTACATATAGAACACAATTTTTCAAATCTCTGGTTGTACATAGAGTCACACCATTCGTGTCTTCATACATGTACTTAAGTATTGATGTCCATCTCATTCCACCATCTTTCCTACCCCCATGCCCCCTCCCTTCCCCTCCTACCCCTCTGTCCTATCTATTGTTTATCTAATCCTCCCATGCTCCCTCTCCAACCCAACTATGAATCAGCCTCCTTATATCATCTCGGGAGCAAATTTTTACCACTTGCACATAAGATAGAGCACTAATCTGTAGGGTATATAAAGAACTCAAAAAGCTAAACACCATGAGGGCAGGCTGGGTTGTGGCTCAGCAGTAGAGCGCTCGCCTAGCATGCATCAGGCACTAGGTTTGATCCTCAGCACCACATAACAATAAAATAAAGGTACTGTGTCTAACTACAACTAAAATATTTTTTTTAAGAAAAGCTAAACACCAAAAAAAAAAAAAAATAACCCAATCAATAAATGGGCTAAGGAACTGAACAGACACTTCTCAGAAGATGMTATACAATCAATCAACAAATATATGAAAAAATGTTCAATATTTCTAGCAATTAGAGAACTGCAAATCTAAACTACATCAAGATTTCATCTCACTTCTGTCAGAATGGCAGCTATTAATAATACAAACAACAATAAGTGTTAGTGAGGATGTGGGGTAAAAGGCACACTCGTACATTGCTGGTGGGACTGCAAATTAGTCCAGCCAGTATGGAAAGCAGTATGGAGATTCCTTGGAAAACTGGGAATGGAACCACCATTTGACCTAGCTATTCCACTCCTCAGTCTATACCCAAAGGACTTAAAAACAGCATACTACAGGGACACAGCCACATCAATGTTTATAGCAGCACAGTTCACAATAGTTAAACTATTGTTTGGAAGCAACCTAGATGTCCTTCAGCTGATGAAAACAGCAAATTCTATCAAAAGTTTGTGAAAAGGAGAAAAATACATTGGTAGAGGAAGATCCAAAGAGTTTTGATTTTTTAAAAGTATGATCATACAGAAAGAAAAGGAAAGTCAGCAGAGATATATAAGAGATATGGGTGGGATAAAAAAGGAATAATCAAGAAAGGCCTTGTGAAGGCAGAAGAGCATGGATCCACAACAGAAATAGAAAGAAAAATTAGGTCAGAGAGGAGCAGGAATATTTCTTCCATAACAGAAGCAAAGGAAAGAAAGAATGCAGATATGGGCAGTTCAAAGGACTAATAGCAAGATGATGAKAATATTGTCATCTGACAACTTCTATTTTATTTTTTATAAAGAAGCAATCATTTGCCAGGAGTAGAGGGGTAAAGGGGAAACCTGAAAAGTGAGGAAAGTGATCAAGTTTAGAAGAGATGCTAAGAGAATGGGGTAGAAGGCTCAGATCAAAGACATGTAGTAGGAACAGAAATGCATGAATATTCCTGATTGAGGTCAGTGATCATGAACTTCTGCGGTGTCAATCTGGATGATGGTTGAAATTACTTCAGCACCTTGGGTGTGTGTGAGGTGCAAAAAAGAAGGCACTGTTTGAATTCAACCTCAACCTAGGCTCTGCAAGGTAATGCCAGAAATGGAGCTTAGTTACACAGTTTTATAAGAAGACAAGGAATAATGTCAACTCATCATATTAAAAGCAATATACATTCAAAAATCTAGATCTTGATACTCTTCAAGATTTACCTTTTAGAAGGAAAAAAGTATTCTACATAGTTAATGGAATTTCAAAGTTGAAGAAACTAAATAAAACCAATTTGTCTTATAAATTGTTATTGCAAATTATATTAGGGAATATAAACTTTGATTTTTATAATCCATGGTGGGAGCTCAAATATAGTCCAAAAAAGTTCAAGAGAGAAAAATTTTGAATTGTAGCTAGTAAAACTGTAAAAATTGTTCTTCACGCAATAATTCCATTTAAAAATATAATCTTGAAATAGAAGTAAAAAGCTTGTTTATCAACACAGAGATGTTGTTAATTTTGTACCTTTGAAGCTGATCCTGTATCTGATCTGCAATTTTCACTTTATCCAATAAATTCTGAATTTCAGCTTTTTGGCGATTAATAATTTCCTTGTATTTCGACAATTCATCTTCTGTTCTTAATCGTTCATCTTCTAGACATTTTGCCTATTAAATTATCATAACCAAGTTAAACTACAAACAATATTTTCTTATTCCTTATAAACTATTTCAGATAGTGGTTACATATTAGAAATCAAGGCTTACTTCTAACACAGTATTAGTTCATATGAAGAAAATACAATAGGAAGTTAATGTCCTAGATTTCAATTGCAGATTTCTGGTGATTCAGTCATGAGAGTTTAAGCATGTCATTTTATTTTTTACTAATTTTCATTTATTCATCTGAAAAAAAAGGATCTATCTTCCCCAACTACTTCAAATAACTGACATGGAGAACAAATAGGAAGGTATATGAAAAACTCTTTGAAAATTATTAGGTGATCCCACATTCAAAGTGGTAACTGAAAGGCCTATTATGATACCTGTGATAATATATAATATTCATAATCATATTAAAAGGTACAGGGACATTACCATGACAATTAAAGACTTCAGACAGTGGAAGAGATTTAACAGGCTGTTAGAAATGCAATCTTTACCCATCTAAGACAATTAAATATACCCAAGGAGAAACAGATAGTTTTCTTACTATTTTCTGGCACTCATAGTTCTTAGATTCAACTATCTTTCCAAATGATTTGCTAAAACAACTATCTTTAGATCAAAGGCCCAAGGTAAGTTATAATCACAGCAAATATGGGATGGAATAGAAATGTTTGGCAAATACTTCAAAGAAACTAACATGGGATATACTTTCATTTCAATGAAAGTCAATTATATTACCAGAGAATTGCTATTGTGCKCTTCTGAGTTTTTTTATTTTGTAAAATTTCTTTTATCTCCCTTTCTCTTTCTCTCCTTCCTACTTCTCCTTCCCCACTCCCTTCCTTCATTTCTTCCTTGCAATACTGGGAATTGAAACGAAGAGTGATCTATCTACCACTGAGCTCCATCCCTAGCCCTTTTTATTTTTTATTTTGAGACAGGGTCTCACTAAGTTGCCCAGACTAGCCTTGAACTTGCAATCTTCTTGCCTAGTCTTTCAAGTAGTTAGAATTATAGGTGTGGGCCACTGCACTCAGCTATTTTGAAAAATTTCTATGTAACTACCTTTTCCCCACCCCTTCAAAAATCAGAGTAAATCCAAAGTTAAAGATATTTACCCTTCTTCCTCTGGAGTCATAACTAAAGATTTGATTACCTTTGTCCTCAGTGTTCGMAGTTCATCCATACCCTCTTTAAAGGTCCTCTTCAGATCTTCCAGTTCCTTTATTTTGGCATGATGCATCTTTAAAAGAAACCACAAATCATAATGCACTAAACTACATCTAAAAACTTATCGCCTACTTGTTCCAAAAGGCTTTAAAAGTAGATGACAACACCTACTCTGTCTCTCTTTCTGTATTTACTACATAGTCTAAGATATTCAAAGAGCAAAAGTATTCACCTCTAGCTGGTCAGATTTTTCTTGCATTTGTTTTTCAAGTTCTCCTTTTGTGACTCTAAGTTTTGCATCAAGCTCATTTGATTTAATTTCTTCAGACTCCTAATGGAAGGAAAACAGGAAAAAAATTATGATTTTTAAAGCTTTATATTTTGAAAAGCTAAGAAAGTTTTGCAGCTGAGTTTACTAATTGTGAAACATACAGCTATATACCTAAAATTGAACAATGCATTGAAAGATTTTAAACGTCAATTTTGCATGAATAAGAATAGCATATTATATAACATAATAGAAAGTAGTTTCTTCTTTAAAGTTTTAAATTTCCTTGCATTTTTGTCCTTCTGACATTCTCTACGAATTTCACTTGGTTAAAACTGCTCTAATAAGATCCAAAGCAGCAGGTAGTTTAACAGAGGAATTAACCTGCAACTTATTTAACTGTTTTATCAAATCCATTCTATACTTCAGATATTGCCAATACAGAAATTTAATGAAACCGGAATACTGACATTTCGTATAATTTATTACACACAGTGTGTCTAAGCGCCTCACACCCAGCCAGGGAGGTAACTCAAATCACGTGCGAGAATGACTTCCCACAATTTATTACCAATCTACTTGAAAAGCTAAACATACCTGATATGTTTTTATCATATCCTGACAGTTTTGTCGTATCTGATCTGCTTCTTCCTTTGCTTGTGTTAACTTTGTTGTTGTGTCTTTGAGTTTATCTTTGGTTTCCTGCATTGAAAAAGAAAGACAAAGTTGGCCACAATGACACAAAGAATGGTAAAAAGTAACCATGGAGTAGGGCAAGTTCTTGTCCCTAGAACTGTACCAAGAGGTGGTATACTATTCTTGCAATAATATTTTATGTTTCTAATAGAAAGTTAAATGGCCTATACAGTGAACTGATAGCCATTAAATAGAGTTAGTTTTCAGCAAATTACCAGAAGTTATTAACCTGATAAGAAAAGCAAAGCGTCAAATAGTTCTTTGCATACCCWTATATAAAAGACAGTATTTTGGTTTATGGCCATGATATCTATTCAAAACTGCATTTTTAAAAAAATATTTTATTTTTTAGTTATAGTTGTACACAATATCTTTATTTTGTTTACTTATTTTTATGTGGTGCTGAGGATCAAACCCAGGGCCTTGCAAGTGCTAGGAGAGCGCTCTACCACTGAGCCACAACCTCAGATTTCAAAACTGCATTTTAATTAATAGATGCTGCAATATGGTTTTGTTCCTTGCCGTTCTCCTAAAATGGCGATTATAAAGATTTTTCTGGACTATTCTCATCAAATTCAAGTACTTTTTCTCATTTTTATCCTTTTCTTACCTGCTCCTTGACCACCCCTGACTCTTTAAATATCCTTATTTTGTGGCCATTATAAGACAATATTCTCCTCCTTTTCTTCTTTCTTCACTTTTCCTTTCTACTCTTGGGATTTTCAAATATACAACCCTTGCTCTGCAGCTTTTTGTAATCTCCTGCACAGACCTGATTTAGTGCCATAGTTTGGGCTACAGTGAAAATTTTAAATGAGAGTTTAGGTATCTTCGTCTAGTAGCTTCAGTTCACAAAGTTGTAGATGTGCTACTCTGCCTTCGCACAAATGGAACCCAGGGATGGCTTGGATTCTAATAACTGATATGCTGTATTGAAGCTTATTCRTTTACCCAATTGAGTATAAAACTTCTGGACAGCAACTAACTCAGTACTTATCATGCATTAATTGTTCAATTGATGTTTATAGAACTAATGGAAGGAACTCCTAATGTGGATCTTTTGTTCTACTCAGTTTGGTTTTCCCTACAGCAATACTCACTTTTCTTTTTTCCTTTTTTCCTGCTATTCTAGTTGGAATACCTTTCCCATCATTTCTTGAATCTTTCAACTTGCTTTTCTGCTTCACACACTGCTTTTTATATGTCATTTTAAAGAAACACATCTACCATACGATTAAGTACTCAGTTATATACTTCTGAGTTGCTGGTCTTTAATTCAACAACTAAAGGAGCATTGACATGTGGTAGATACTTGCTTCATCTACTTGAAAAATAGCAATTAAGATATTCCTATGTGCCAAACAAATTAATAAATATTTGAACAAAGGAGAAGAATCACAGTGAATGTGTTTAGGCTAAGGTATCAACTGTGTTTCATTTGTTCACTTATTATTAACTGAGTGAGCACCTATTATGTACTAGTTACTGTTCTATGCACTGAGGAAATAGTTGTGCAAGAAAATGAAAAAAATCCCTACTCTCTTTTTYTATTTTAAGAGTTACAAAAACTTTTTATTTAAGAGTTAAATAAAAAATAAAATACATACGTAAATGATATATTAGGTATAAGTGCTAAGAAATAAAAATAAAGCCAGGACATGAGAAATTTTGGGGGAGGTACTGAAAGTTTAAATAGGGTAGTTAGGGGCTTACTGAGAAGCTGACAGGTAAAGACTTGAAAGACATGGATTGAGGGGATTTGCTGAGGAATTGGATATGGTAACTGTGAGAAATCAAGGATAAATTCAAGGTTTTTGGACTGAGCAACTGCAAGGATGAATTGCAATTTACTGAGATAGGCAAGCAATGGAGGGAAGGGCACATTATCAGTTCAGGTTTAGAAGTGTTAAATTTAAGATGCCTCTAAGTTATTGAAGGTGTCAGATGTCAAGTAGTCAGTTGAATATGTGAATCTGGAGTTCTGGGCAGAGGTTACGAATCTGGTAGTCACCAGCATGCAGCTCTCTATTGCTCTTTTCAGATACACTAATCTTGTCTTCTGCAGTGCTAATCTGTTGTGAAGTCTATCCAATGTATTTTTCAATGTATTATGTGAATTTGGTCTTTTTTCTATCTTCCATCTCTCTCCTTATCATAGTCATGCTTTTATTTATCTTCTTGAACATATGGGAGTATATTTATAATAGCTGTTTTAACATCCTTGTGTATTGTCCTACATTTCGTATCATTTCTGGATCTGTTTCTATTGATTGATTCTTGCTTTATTCTCATTATGGGCTATATTTTCTTGCTTTYTTGCATGCTGGTAGTTTTCCTTTGGCTAAACAGTGAATTTTGTGCTCTTAGGTCAAGATTTTTATTAAATATTTTTGGACTTTGTTTTAAGGCATAGCTAATATACCTGAAATGAGATTGCTTTTAAAGCTTTATAAGGTGGGTCCATAACAAACATAGTGTAAGGCCACTGGTCCCCACAACTAAAACAATATCCGTTTGGGGCCTGCCTACTTGCTGCCCTGTGTGTAAAGAGATCTTATCTCTTTGGCTGGAGGAAACAAATAGTTCTTAGCCCTGAGTAACTCTAGGAATTACTGGCCATATTCCTTTCTGATCTCTGGAACTCTGTCCTCCCTGTTCTCCACACTTTCAACTCTATTTCTTCTCTTCAGGGGGACTGCTGGCCTCTATTTAGGTTCCTCTCATTGTAACGCAGTCTGGAAACCTCCTGGCACTGTACGTCATTTGTTTCCCTTCATTCAAGGATCACTGTCTCATGCTGCCTATTGTCTCAAGTCTAAAAACATTCACTCCATATATTGTTTCAATTTTTTTTTTTTAGTTTTAGAAGATGGAAGGATAAATCTAAACGTTCTTATTCCCTATTGTAATAGAATATAGTCAACAAAATAAGGTTATAGTGTAGAAAAATTACAGAACAGAACATAGAATACAGCTTAGTAGGTGACATGAAATGGCAAAGCTAATTTAAAATGAGCTCTAGCTTCCATTAGTGGGCCTTATGAGAAAACAAACCATTTAGGAATGAGACTATCACAGACAACACAACCACCTYGGGAGAAGAGCACATTAAATGGGAAAGTCTTGCTTTAGGTGACCTAGTGGAAGGAACATGTCATAAAATATATCAATCCTGGTAATATATTAGATCTCCTGCATCCTGTTGGTCTGGGTACTGCCTCCATACCAGACTCCATTATTCTAGCTTTCTCTGAAGCATAATTGTCTGGCAAGTACCCAGAACTGCCAAATCATGTTGCCAAAGAACGACTGCCACATTTATTGCCAGCCACACTATACTTTGGTGAAAACATATTATCCTGAGACCAGGCTGGTGAAAAGGTAGCCACCAGGTAGATGATCAAATACATCAGATACATTGGGGGAAGTCTTCCTTCTTTATTCATTACACTCAAAATAAAAGGCTTTGTTCTAAGAGGTAGGGCATTAAAAATGATTTTAGCTAAACCCCAAAGAAGTCTTAAGGGAAGGGAACAAAATAGTTTCTATTTGATCTGATGATCTGGGTGTCTAGACTACCTAGGCTACACTTCAGTTCTGGTAGTATGTCCTAGAGATCTGTATGCTTTGACCCAGAGATTCCCTCTCACATCTATTAGGTAACACATAAAATATGTAAGCAGGGGCCTATCCCAGACCCTCTCTGAAAGCAATGACTGTGTTCAGAACTAAATGCTTGCTGGGAAGAAAAGCCTTACTTTAAAAGAACAGGTAAATATTGATTTTCACATACCAGGCTAGTATGGTTGTTATTTTCACTTTCTAGCATCCACACCATGTTACCTTACAGACGTCAGCCTTAACCCACTTTTCTAATGCACTTACAGAGTATTTGGTTCCATCTAATCTCAAGGCTATCATTAAGAATCAGATATCGGGCTGGGGATGTGGCTCAAATGGTAGCAGGCTCGCCTGGCATTCGTGCAGCCTGGGTTCGATCCTCAGCACCACATACAAACAAAGATGTGTGTCTGCCGAAAACTAAAAAATAAATATTAAGGAATTCCCTCTCTCTCTCTTCTCTCTCTTAAAAAAAAAAAAAAAAAGAATCAGATAGCACCCATTCTCTGAATATACAGAGCTCATATATTTGTAAAGTTTTTCACTCCTCAATGCTAGTGTTCCAGTAAGTTTAAGGATCCTGTCTCTTTTGACAATAGATGAAAATAAGGAAAGTACCCTAAATATTAGATATTAGTCCAAGTATTATGTTCATATCTTAAAGCAATTCAGGCAGCTAAAAAATATKATTGTCCATGTGGATTTGGAATTCTGATTCCTTATTCTGAAAACCAAAAGGAAGGGAAATAATAAATGGCTTAGCCCTGGAGACCTCTAGGGATTGCTACCCTGTTCCTTTCTGGCATTTCTTTCTTAGCCTTGGTAGCTTCCTCATATACCTGTGCAGACTTAAGGGGAGTCTACTGTTCTGCAACCTATCTTTGACCATTGTAGACTACTCTCCCTACAGTCTTCTCTGATGATACTAACATATGAATACCCAAAGGCTATTAAAAATACTGATTTGGAATTATTTAATATAGTAATCCAGGATTATAGTTTTAAAGGATATCATTAGGCTTATTTTTGAAAGCCTCAAAGTTGATATATTTCTATATTACTCTTCTATTCAAGTCACATTTCAGAGTTGCTCTTTTACTTAATATCAACTAYAGACTTTTATTACTTTGAGTATCAGCTCATTTAGTGCTTAAAATTATGGCATCTGGTACCAACTTTTATAATTATTTTTAATTATATTTTTTTTATTAAAATGATATTTGCAGCTTGGCATTGTGGCATATGCCTGTAATCCTAGAGAAATCGGGATGCAGAGGCAGGAGGATCTCAAGTTCAAGGGCARTCTGAATAATTTAGCAAGACCTTGTCTCAAAATAAAATTTAAAAAGGATGGGGTACGTAGCTCAGTGAAAGAGCACTTGACTAGCATGCACAAAGCCCTAGGTTTAATCCCCAGTAACAGCAAAAAAGAAAACAAAAATAAAAACAAAAAAAGTTAAGAGAACTTATGTTTATTATTTTATTTAAATAGCATCACTGATATTTCTAAAAATTTCCAGAGTTTATTTTTGATTTTGATAACTTATACATACTTGTACCCGGCCCCTGACTTTGCATACAAAATAAAAATGCAATAAGGCAAATTTTGGTGTTGTAAACTACAAATAATAAAATTTAATATTTCAACCCATAAGTAAATCATGCAAGAAAACCTCTTTTTCATAATCACCAAATATTCAGGTCCAAACTATCCTGTAGGAGTCACTAAAGCAAGTTCCATGTCTCCTTAACTGCTATTATATTCACTCCTAATTCTAATTTCTATTTCATGGTGTTACAGTACTCACCTTGTGTGAATCCATTTCAGCTTTCAATTTATTTTGGGCCCACTTTACTTTAATGATTTGAGAGTTGATATCTTCCTTTAATTTTTCTATTTCTCTGATGAGTCTAGTTGTTTCACCTTCCTAAAATAATATCACTAGGTTATATTTTTCACTTAAACAATCAATCATTTGTTTATCATTTATATCCCTTCAAAGTAATCCGTTCAACATCACTATAGTTTAAGGGCTAATACACTATGGTCCTTAGGCCATAAAACTGATTAGAAGGCAGTAAAATTCTAAATTTAATTAATAGACATGAAGATGATTAATACCTATATTTTAACTAATTGGATGTGTTGTGAGCACAAGCACATGTATATGATTCTTCTTAACTGGTTGACATTAAATATTAAATTGGTTTTGTAAGAATTTCTGAGAATTGATAATAATATTTCTGAATTAAAAGACATTAATTTAATTACTTAGTTAACTCAGTAAGTAAATAACCTAGGATAGCATCTAGGAAGCATATGTTTTTCTATAAGAAAAGCATAAGTTCTACTCTATAGTGAATAAGTGCTACATTTAGAGTCTGTCTGAATAGATATGTTTCTGGCTCTAAAACTATTCACATGTAACACAACTATGTACATATTTTACCAAAACAGTTTTCTTTGAGGCACAAGTTAATTTTTCCAATATATGGATTTTAAAAAGAAGATCTATTAAAAAAAAGTTATCTAAAATTTATTTTAAAATTTCAAAAAAAATATCCAATAAACATGTACCAATCAATACCTCATCTTTTCCCAGCAAACCTTTTTGCAGGCAAGTAATGAGATATTATAATTTCTAAACATTCATGTTCTTAGAAGGTTAATAACAATAACTTTGAGTGTTTAAACCATGCTATCATCATTTGACTGGAAAAGCAAAGAATAAATTTCAAGTAAGATACAATGGCACAATCATACCTTTGCTTCATATAGCTGCTGCAACCGGCCTTTCTCCTGAGAAAGCTGCTTAATTTTGTTAGTGTTTTTCTCAAACTCCTTATTGGCATCTCTAAGTTTCCTCTCAAGGATCTCTTTTTCCTTTCGAAGGTCTAAAGATTCCTTCTCACCTCTTACATACTTCATTACCATTGCTTCTTTCTCTTGGCGTGCCTCTTCACATTTCTTGTTGGCCTTTGAAAAAAAATATTATCTAGCATTAATAAAAAGATTTTAAAATAAAAATATATTAAAATAAATAATGTTTTCCTATATCACCAATGTATTTTTTTATTCTTGCATTACATTCTAAGCCCTTGTGTCATAAAATTTTGAGATAAAAAGAAAAATTCAAAATTATAGAAAACAATATGATACTAATATTTGCTATTATTCTTTCCAATTCCTTTTACTTTGGCTGATATTTTTCATGTATGCTCCCAGACCTGCTATCCTACCCTTTTCTGTCCCATCCTGTGGCCCAGGAAAATGACTGTCATAGACCACATCAACAAGTTCCCTTACCCTCAAACTTCCATTTGGGTTCTGCCAGCAGGAGACATTAAACAAACATTCAGCAATGAAGGCAGAGTGAGGTCTGACTTCTCTAGAATCACCAGAGGTAGCCTGAAGACACTAACTCCTGTCAGGTGGCCTCTCTATACAACTATTCTCTCTGGATTGCCCTGATTTTGGAGCTCTAGAAGTGTAAGTTAAATAAGCTTCTTTTCTTTATGGAGTACCCAGATTCGGGTATTTTTTTAATAGCAACACAAAACAGACTATACATAATATGTGTGACTTGTGCATGCACAGGAGGTACGAAAACTAAACAAAATATCAATAATTAGCTATTTGTTTATATAAACAAATTGAAGGCAGGGGAAAAAATTATAGATAAAGGAGGACTTTCATTTTTTATTCTGTATACTTCCTTGACTTATTTTTGAATAATTAGTAGGCATTTATGTATTGCTTTCGTATCTTTGTTTATTTATTTATTTTTTTGAGATGCTAGGGATTGAACATAGGGCCTTATGCATTCTAGACAAGCATTCCACCACTGAGCTACAGCCCAGCTCTGCTTTTTTTTTTTTTTTTTTTTTTTCGGTGCCATGGATTGAACCCCAAGGTGCGTAGCCACATCACCAGCACTTTTTATTTTTTATTTAGAGACAGGGTCTCAGTTACTTAGGGCCTTGCTAAATTGCTGAGGCTGGCTTTGAATTTACAATTCTCCTGCCTCAGCCTCCTGAGCCACTAGGATTATAGTCATGTGCCATTGTGCATGGCTCTGCTTTAGTATTTTTTTTTATAATTCTGCTTTAGTATTTTTGAAAGGCTGATTTTATATAAATAAAATTAATATTCTTAACACACCATTGATGTMAAAAAGCCTAAAAGAGTTAGTTTATTTTAATAAATAATAGAGTCACCAGACTATAAAGTTAATAATTTAGGAACATGAAAAATACCTGGTCCATCCGTTGGGCCATCTCTTTGTGTAATTGCTGAATTGCATTTTTAGCTGCAATGTCTTGAGCTACTACTTTATCTTTGGAAACTTTAACTTCTTTATTAAGTTCTTCTATTMTTGATTCTAACTGTAAAGAAAATTATTCCCAGATCATTTTCATTGCTATAACAAACAGACCACTAATACTTCAATAAATAGTATGTATATAGTACAAAGTGTGTAATGAATATATTTTAATCATTGGAATCAATAGCAATATTTCTATATCTCATTGGAATTGTTAGCATAAATCTGAAGATAGTGATACATTAAAGTATACATATGGTACCCTGGAGCATCCACTCAGGAATAACTCAAAGAAGTATAGTTAAATATTATGAAAGAAATTTAAATATTACRTTAGAAAATATTCAATTAGTTGAAAAGAAAGTAGAGGAGAAGAAGAGGGGAGAAATAAGACATAGAAAATGAAAAGCAAAATGGTAGACGTGAATCAATGTAAAATATCATATTAAATGAAAATGGATTATATAATCATATCAAAAGGTAGAAACTGACAGACTGAAATAAAAAAACAGGATTCAACTATATGTTGACTCCAGGAGACAATTTAGGTCCAAAGATAAACTGAAAAGAAAAGAATGCAAACAGTAATCATAAGTAGTAGCGATTATATGAATATCAGACGAAATTAAATAAAATTTAAAAAGTGTTACAAGAGATCCAGAAGGACATTTTATAATGATAAAAGGATCAACCCATTGAGAAAAATCCAAAAAATCTAACACATATCTAATAACATAGCACCAAAAAACTTGAAGTAACAACTGAACAGAAATGAAGGGAGAAACAGACAAATCAATAAGTCAGAACTTCAATATGCTACTTCAAAAGATAGACTCAACTAGGCAGAAGATTAATGAGGAAACAAGAGAGTTCAACTAACTAAAAAACAACTGGATGTAATACAACACTCTACCCAGCAACAGCAGAATATACATCTACTCAAGTACACATGGAATGTTCCCCAAGATAGAATGTGTGCTGGCTTTACAAATAAACCTCAATAAATTTAAAAGATGGAAATCATATAAAATATGTTCTCTAACCCTAACGAACTAAAATTAGAACTCAAAACAGAAAGAAATTTGGGAAATTCACAAGTTTGTGAAAATTAAACAACATAATCATAAATAACCAATGGGAAAAATCACAAAGGAAATTGATACTAGTTAGTGAATAAAAATGAACACATAACATACCAAAACTTATTTGGTGCATTTAAAGAAATGTTTAGAAGAAAATTTGTAACTATAGTGACCTTTATTAAAAAATAAAAAAGATTCCAATTTAATAACCTAAATTTCTAGTATAAGGCAATGGAAGAACTAATTAAACAAAAAACTGAAGGAAGAAATAATATAATATATAGAGTGGAACTTAATAAAACAAAGAATTAAAAAACAGAAACAAAACTAGAAGTTGATTCTTTGAAAAGGTTGACAAAATTGACAAACTTTTAGCTAAATTGAGAGAAGACTCAAATTACTAGAATTTAAAGATGGACATTACTACTGACCTTAGAGAAATTTAAAAAATTGTGAATGAATACTACAAACATTTAACTTAGAAAAAATGGAAAATTCCCAGAAAAAAAAAATCAACTATCTAACTAGCTCAAGAAGAAACATAAAGTTTCAATAGACCTGTACAAGTGATTTCTTATCCAGAACAGCAACCAAAAAAAAAAAAAAAACTATCCATACCAAAAAAATTCAGGTACAGATGGCTAACAGGTAAATTCTACCAAACACTTAAAGAATACCAATTCTTCTAAAATTCTTGCCTTTAAAAAAAAAAGAAAAGAAACTCCTTTCAACTCATTCTATTTACTCCTAGGTATATACCCAAGAAAGATGAAAATATGTCCACATAAAAACTTCTGTACGAATGCACACAGAGCATCAATTGATGAAAGGATGAATAAAATATTTATTCATGCAATGGAATATTATTCAATCATTTAAAACAACAAAGTATTGATGCATACCTCAACTTGAAAGACACTCTGAAAACACTATTACTTAATATATGATTCCATTTATATTAAGTATCCAGAAAAGGCCAATATATAAAGGCATGTTGTTCTCTAAGTCTAGGGATGAGGGTGGTATTGGAGGCAAATGAGTGACAACTAATAGTGGTGGGGTTTCTAAACCCATGGTGAAGGTCACACAAATTAATAACCATTGAATCATACACTTGAAATGAGTGGATTGTGAGGTATATAAATTTTATCCCAAAAAACTATTTTAAAAGACCTAAACATTACATGTGTGCTGATTTTTCTTATAAAAAACTATCTAGAGACACTACCAACAGAAATACAAACCACAGATGGATGTGATGGTACATGCCAATAATCTCAGCTACTTAGGAGGGTGAGGCAGGAGAATCACAAGTTCAAGGTCAGAACACGCAACTTAACAAGACTCTGTTTCAAAATAAAATAAAAGGGCTRAGGATATAGCTCAGTGGTAGAGTGCTTGTCCAACATGCTCAAGGCCCTGGGCTCAATCCTCCATGCAGCAATGCTCAGGGGAAGATAAATGATAACGAGGACTTTGATTTCATTAGTGGATTAATCTACTGATAGTTGAATGGACAAATGCAAGTGGTGGAAACTGCAGGTGGTGTGGCAAGGTTGGAGGAAGTAGGTCACTGGAGGTGTGTTTCTTGTCCCAGGTTCCTTCCTCTTTCTTTGCTTCCTGGCTGCCATGAGATGAGAAGCTTTCCTCCATCTTGCTCTTCCACTATGATGTTCTGCCTCATCTTAGGCACAAAGAAATAGAGACAACTGACCATGAACTGAAACCTCTGAAACTCTGAGTCAAAATAGACTCTTTCTCCTTTAAGTTGTTTATGCCAGGTATTTTGGTACAGAGACAGAAGCTGATTGTCAAAACAATATGGGCAACTTAAATTTTTTAACTTATTTTTTTGGTATAGGGAATTGAATCCAGAGATGCTTTTCCACTGAACTACATCCCTACCTCATTTTTATTTTTTTTTAGACAGGGTCTTCCTAAGTTGTTGAGGATGGCCTTGAACTTGTACTCTCTTGCCTCAGCCTCCCAAGTCACTAGTATTACAGGTGTGTGCCACCATACTTGGCTATRACTTAAATTTTCTAGTAGTCACACTTTAAAGAGCAAAATGAAACAGGTGTAATAGTTTAAACTCAATATACCTAAAATATTTTCTTTTTAATGTACAGAAACATGAAAAAATGAGCTATTTTATAATTTTTTGTACTAAGTCTTTTAAATTAGCTGTGTATATTATGCTTATAGCACCTCTCAATTTGGACTAATCACCTTTCATGTGTTCAATAGCCAAACGTGGCTACCATACTGGACAGTGCAGATCTAGAGATAAAATTAAGAAAGAATACTGTACTAGACTTGTTTTCTATTTAAAAGTATGAAGTTCTTTAAATGCTAGCAAAAGAAAGATGAATCCAACATTCTTTTTTTCTTTTAAAGGTACAACCTTTAGTATACTTGGGAAAGGAAGCTCTGGTTTTGTCCCATCTGTTCAGTCTGAAGATTCTGGTCATCAGCAGTTACCTAACTATTGGACCCAGACTATTATTATTAAATCTCCTTTATACTTTAACCTTCTTAAGTTTGGTTTACATATGGTAGTCCTACAGTACATAAAAATCAGTATTAAATATCATACATAAAATCTTACAAATGTATTCACCTTCAACTGTGAAAAGATGCATTAATTGAATACCAAAGCATAAACAAGTGAAACCTGTATAATTTTTAATTATATTGTCACCAAATATTTTCTGCTATTTTCATTATACAGCTTTCTGTAAAAGATGAAACGAAAGGAAATAACAGTCATGTGCTACATAATGTTTCTGTCAATGATGAATAACAAATGATTCAACATGGTTATATCACCTAGTGATGTTGTAGCCATCTTAGTTTAAGTAGATCCTATGGATGGTCACACAGTGACAAAATTGCCTAATTATGTATTTTCTCAGAACCGTCCTCATTGCTAAGTTACTATACTTTAAAGACTAGAATGCTTCTCATCCTGCCCACAGAAGAAAATGCAGCTCAGAAAGATAAAGAGCAGCTCAGTTTTGTTATCAAGTCTAAGTGGTTACTTTGTTGATTAGAGGAGTTCATTAAAAAAGAAGAAAGGAAAGAACAGGCTAAGAGAGCCAGTTAGCTCTGTGATTATACACAATCACAAGTAATAAGAACAAATCTTCACAGCATAGTTTACAAAAATACTGAAAATAGAACCATACTAGATTTTTAAGTATAAAAGTATCCTAATGCCAGATATAAACTTTTAAGTATGTATAGTATAGCTTCTTACCTTGATTGATAAAAATCGTCTAGTGACTGTCAAATCAAATTGTCTTTATTATTTTGAACATAATGTAATATATTCTATTTAGCAGAATAATCACACATATCGTAAAATATTTACATAAAATAATTCAAGCTATGATTCCTACACTTCATAAGAGAATGCTTTAAATATGAGCAATTATCTGCATTTAAAAYATGATTTAATTTACAGAATTTCAATTTATATATAAATTTTCAGGAATGTGTTTATTTTATAAATTATCAATTAAAATTTTATAAATATGGTATTTAAAATTTTTTATCTTTTTTACCTGTTTAATTGTGTTCACATGCTGCTTCTCTGTTTCTGTTCTTTTTTTTAACTCTTCTCTTAAATTGTCTTTTTCTGAACAAATGTCTAAGATGAGCTCCTGATGCTTCTTATTTTCTTTAATTAACCTAAATATAAAAGGGTAGTATAGATAAAACATAATTAAAAATGGATACATAATGAAATGTGGGGTGTTTGCAGATTAGGTTGTAGATATCTATGATTATATTGGGTTAACATTCCAAAGTAATCTTTTATCGTAAAGTATCATGTTTATATATTCCTTAATGATACATTTCTCAGAACTGTCTTTTTTTTTTTTCAATGCTGGGGATTGAACCCAGGGCATCATGCCTGCCAAGCAAGCACTCTACCATTGAGCCACATCCCTAGCCCTTTTAAGGCTCAAATGCTTCTAATCCTGTCCACATAAGAAAAAGCAGCTCAGAAAAATAAAAATCAACTCAGCTTTGTTATCAAATATTCACACTGTTGATCTATGCACCAGATATTCTGCAAAACGTTCTTTTAGCCAATCAGGTGGTTAATTTTTTCCTAGATATTCCAAATCAAGTTACATATAATCAAAAAAAGAAGATCATGTCCTATTATAAACAGGCCTTTGGCCATCTCAACTATGAACAACTTTCCTTCAGCATAGAAACCCCTGGGATAAGTGGTTTRTAATCAAGAGCAATTTTATCCCTTCAAGCATCTGGATACATTCTGGATTATCACAATAAGGGCAGGGGTTGCTACTGGTTGTTGAATGGGTGGAAGTCAGAAAGGCTGCTAAGCACTCTAAAATTCTAAGACATCTCTACCTGTAACAAAGAATTATCTGGGCCAAAATGGCAATAGGGCCGAGATTGAGGTATCTTGCTTTACATTTTAGAAATATTTTAATGATATACTAATAGATATATAAGTGTAGTCAATGTAAAACAAATTTAAGCAGAAATTTCATCTTAAGTCCCCCTACAAAGACAGAAATAAAATCTTAAAAACTGCCCACAAAGGAATCTGAACTATAGGATACCTAAGAAAATAAACAACTATGATTATAGGATTGTTAATGTTACTAACTATAAGTTTACTGCACACTATTTGCTAAGTTAAAATTTAAAAAAAAGAAAAAAGATATTATTTCCTGAGGGATAGTGGCATACTCTTGTAATCCCAGCTATTTAGGAGGCTGAGGCAGAAGGATCTCAAGTTTGAGGCCAGCATGGGCAACTTAATGAGTCCCTGTTTCAAAATAAAAATAAAAAGGGCTGGGGATATACCACAGTGATAGAGCACCCCTGAGWTCAATCCCTAGAAGAGTGGGATAAAAGAGTTATTATTTCATTTAATATTCAAAATAAAACTGTAAAATTATCATCACTTCTATTTTATGAAGTTAAAATAAGACACAATGGAAACCCAGGACTTATTCCTGGGTTTCCATTGTGTCTTATTATAGCTAGTAAGTGGCTRAACTGAGTTTTAAATACTGGTCTCATTGCAAAGCCCAGGCCTTTCTACCTACTACTCTATGAGGATCACTCATTTATTTAACTGATGCTTACTGGGCACCTACTATGTTTCTTACCCTATCATCAAGGGAGAAAATAAAAATAGACATATTTTTTAAAGAGATAAGTATATATAACAAAATTTCAGATAGTGATTTAGTCCTATTAAGAAACATTAACTAAAGCAAGAGGACAGAGAGAACTTGAGCTGTGATAAGGCTGACCGTTCTGAGAAGTAACAGTTGAGCGCAGGAATGCAGTGAGGAAGCAAGCATGCAACTGTTTTGGAAAGAGGCAAATGCAGCACGTAGGTTTATTCAAGCCTTTGATGGCACAGTAGTTTAACTTGGATTACATAATACACACACACACACACACACACACACACACACACACACTCATTTGTAACAGAAAACTACTTAAGAGACAATTCTAAATATACTTCACAAGTAAACAGAGGAGGAGTTGGGGAGTGAAGAACAACAAACATTATAATTCTCCTCCTTCTCCTTTTGTGGTATTGAAGATGGAACCTCAGACCTTGTATGTGCTTGGCAAAGGCTTTACCACTGAGCTATAAAGCAGTTCCAAAATTGTTATTCTTATTTGCCAAGTACTCATACAAATAGATAACTGTTCTTAATTAATTAAGAATTTTGTTGGGACCTTGGACAACAACAATGATACATTAGAAAACAGAAGAATAAAAAATAGTGAAATGGTGGTTGCCAGGGGTCAGGAGGTAGAGGAAATGGGGAGATGTTAGTCAAACGTTACAAACTTTGGGTTATAAGATGAATAAGTTCTGGGGATCTAATGTACACCATAGAAACAATAATTAACAATACCATATAATATACTTGAAATTTGCTGAGAATAGATCTTAAGGGTCCACACCACATACACATACCCCCAAAAGTATATTTGTAAGGTGATGGATATGTTATCTAACTTCATTACAGAAATCATTTAACAATGCATATCAAATCATCATGTGGTACACCTGAAATATATACAATTTTGTCAATCACACTTCAATAAAGCTAGGGAGAAAAAGAAAACAGGATTGGATATATAAACAAAGACATCTGAAAACAAATGCATTTATGAACATTTCAATCAAAGGAACTGAAAAGTAGTTTTCTTCATGAAAAATTAAAATGAAGGCAAAAGAAAAGAAATTTTAGTTGTTTTAGAGCTGACCTGAATGAACAAAGCTTTTACTTGGAATTAAAAATATTATGTGTATGATCAACCTCACTTTAAAGTAACATATGACATTTGTACAATGCCTAATGCCCACAAAAGTCCCATCTGGTAAGTACCCCTCATAGAGATAAAAAATATTTGACTCAAAAGAGGTTTATATAGTTAAGGTAACACTTGCAAACAGCAATGGGAATCTTCCAACACCAGGTTTCTGATCAGAATTGTGCTCACCCCACTGCTCTGACAGGATGAAGCAAAAAAGACTCAACTTTTTACTTTTTATTTTTAGATAAGTTCAACAATTTGTAATTAGTTAATTTCTATAACCACATTTATAAAACCTCTGCAGCCAAACTAACAAGGCTTAGATTTTAACCTTGCGTTGATTGCATGTGACCCTGAACAAGTTACTTACTGTTTCAGGTACCTCATCTGTAAAATTGGGATAGTAACAGTATATACCAGAGTTGTTAGGAAGATCCCATGAGTTTATATATGTGTGTGTGTGTGTGTGTGTGTGTGTATATATACATATATATATACACATATATATACATATATATATACACATATATATACACATATATATACATATATATATACACATATATATACATATATATATACACATATATATACATATATATACACATATATATACATATAGAGTGCACATTATTAAGAGCATGTTTTTTTGTAATTATCATTAAATGCACATGTCTTACAATTTATAAGAGATGTACAAAAGTAATGAGTCCACATCTAAGAAAAGTGAAAAGAGGCAAAAATGGAAAGGTCTAAAAGGTAGGTGCAGAGAGCAAAGTAATGAGGAAGTTACCCTGAAAAAAATTAAAAGTGGCAGAAGCTCCAATGATTCAAATACATAGAGAATACAGTTTATTCACAAAAATAGCACTATTAAGGATATAAATAGGAGTAATGCAATAGTTGTAAGGTAGCACTAAGAACAGTGTTGGAATCTTRAAGATATTTGTAAGTTCAAAGAAACTATTCACAACAGTCAAAATGGAGAAAAGAACTCAAATGTCCATGAAGGAATAAACAAAATGTGGTATACACATAGAATGGAAAATATCAGCCTTAAAAAGTATGGAAATTCTGACACACGTTATAATATGGATAAACCTTGAGGACCTTATATGAAGTGAAATAAGCTAATCACAAAGAGACAATACTGAATGATTTTACTTACATGAAGTATTAAGAGTAATCATACTTATAAAAAGAGAAAGTAGAATGGTGGCTTCCAACAGGGACTGGAGAGAGGTGGCAATAGGGATTTGTTATTTAATGAATATAGAGTTTCAGATTTGCAAAATAAAAAATTCTACAGGTTGGTTGTACAAAGATGGTAAGTTTTATGTTTTGTGCATTTTATCACAAATAAACTCAAAAATAGAAAAATACAAAAGGGACAAGCCTAGATAATAAGAGACTAAAGCTCATTGGGTAAACCAATGAAGGATTAGTGACTTGGGCAAGACTGATCCACTGAATAGGATATTCTGAAAGACTGAAAACCAGAAGGAGGAGATCATAAAAAGGCAAATTGATATCAAATAACATTTGAATTATGGTATATTTTCTTCTGTTATCCTCCTCTGTCAAGTAGACTACTTCTCTTTCTCTATACACACATTCTCTTGATTAAAAAAAAAAACCAAAAAACTTTGAGTATCCTATTTAAAAGAAATCACTATATATTTTAATGAAGGCTAGCTAATATACTTTATTTAACTTTCTTATATGTTACAAAAGAGTACCTAAAATAATGCATCACTTAGCTATATAAATCAAGAATAAAAATATAAGGTAATATATTAGGAAAAAAGACTAAATGAAATTATTATTAAAATTTTATGTTCTTGGATGGGCACGGTGGCGCATGCCTATAATCCCAGTGGCTGSGGAGGTGGAGGAAGGAGGATCATGAGTTCAAAGCCAGCCTCAACAAAAGCAAGGCACTAAACAACTCAGTGAGACCCTGTCTCTAAATAAATCACAAAATAGGGCTGGGGATGTCACTTAGTGGTTGAGTGCCCCAGAGTTTAATACCTGGTACCCACCCCCATGAAAAAAGTTTATGTTCTTATTTATTGAAGGAAAATCAACTAATTCTATGTCCTTTAGATTTTAATTTTCAAACTAATGTATTTACATTGGGGATTTTATAAAAAATGTTGAATTTTATGACTTTTAATTTCCTTTTAAATTTTTCTTATTTTTAACATATTTCTACATTCTTTCAACAATGAAAAACTTAGGTGGAGAAATATAGCTGAGTTGTAGAGTGCTTGCAAGTATTAGCACCCTACTGAAGGCCCCAAGTTCAATACCTAACCCAGCAGAAAATTTTTTAAAAAAGCTTTGTCTTTATAAAAAATTCAGTTTTTCAATGAACTTACACTATTTACTATAATATTTAGTACTTTAGAGTATTAAATAATTAGAAAAACTTGGCACTCAGTAAATACACCTTTATTTATCATGGCTGTACTATGAAATTATTAGTAAACAAGATGATAACTTAAAGGAATTATATCTGTAGTCCTAGAGAAAAAAATTACTTAAAGGAATTTTAAAACTTACTTTTTTATAGTATGTTCCTGCTGCAAATATTTATCTTGCACACACTTTTCAAACAGAACTAATGCATGTTCTCCTTTATTCATGCCATTTGGTACTTGGTGTTCTTCTGCAAACTCTGTAGACAACAGCTCAGATTCTATTTCTTCCAACAAATCCTCTGATGCTGAAACATTTTTTATTTTTGAAATAAGTTTCTTGGTGCAGTCTGTATCATAGAGACTTTCTGAGTAAGTCTTTTGAGGAGCTGCTTCTGTAAATGTAGATGATCTTAATTCTGCCAGTATTTGTGTTACTGTCTGTTCTGTTTCACTTGTTTTAGACACTTGCTTTGCAAAATCTCCACTAGGTAAGTTAGTTATTTGTTCAGAATCTTCTGGGCATATGTCTTTTTTGGCAGAAGAATCCTCACATCCATCATTATTTGGGACATAATTTTTGTGTGCTTCAGCATGACTATTGTGTTCATTAGGCTGACATAAAAGTTTGTCACAATTTAATGACAATAGTTTGGATTCATTTTCTAATCTGCTACTTTCATCACCAGAAAATGAGCTGCATGAATCTTCCTTTAATTCAGATATTTTCCCAATATTTTTATCAGAGGAAATGAAGGCTTCATTCTCTGTCTCTGACATGTTGACAAGCACCAATTCACTTTGCATTTCTTCAAATTTGCTTCTGATCTTTGTTTTACATCTAAGAAATTAAAACATCAAAATTAAAAAAAAGAATTTAAACCAAGACCTCATATCTCTCCATGATATGCAATAACCAAAGACCACAGATTTTTCCCAAAAATAATTTCTTTAATAAAAATCTCTCTTTGAGAAAAAAGAATAGTATAGCCAATCCAAATTATCTACAATCAGCAGAGCCACTGCAAAGTCTCATTGTCTTTCCTCCTTCCGTTCAGTCACCTAACATCCCTAATTACTTTGTTGCTGTTTAGCATTTTCCAATCAATCTTGGAAGATGTTAGGTAGGGAATAATACTTATAAATGGAGGATTAGTGCCAAAGATGTTTACACTTCTTTCAGCTCTGAGGGGAAGAGACTACAAGATCTATAAGAAAATACTGGAGAGGGAAGACAATAATGAAAACACTGGAAGAGAAATCACAAACCAAGATAATAATATAATGCATATTAATAATGATAAAAAAATTTTCTGAGAGGGGCTCAGGAGGCTGAGGCAGGAGGATCACGAATTCAAAGCCAGACTCAGCAAAAGTGAGGCACTGAGCATCTCAGTGAGATCCTGTCTCTAAATAAAGTACAAAACAGGGCTGGATATGTGGCTCAGTGTCCAGTGCCCCTGAGTTCAATCCTGGTTACTCCTGCTCCCCTTCCAAAAATTTACCTAGAAGGAAACCAAATAATAACAAGTCACTGTGACCTATAGCCTATAGACCTAGCTCTGAAATAAAAGAAGTTAAGGCATAAAGGATTCCCTGATAGAAATTAATTTTTTACTGAGGCAGTGATCCAGGAAGTACCATGATGATTTTTAAACATTTTCATCAAAAATAAAACAATTTTCAAACAAACCAAGTGGAGCCCACATGCAGTACCTAGGTGAATAGARGCAATATCTAAAAATTAATTTGACATGGTTGGAATACGTTTTGCTATTATTTAAAAAGATTACTATCCTGGCTTCTTTATGAAAATCCCTCAGCTTCAAAGATTGCCTTAGATGGATAAATATAAAATCTCTCCGTGATCTTATTGAAAAAGAATTGTCAACTTCTTTTGTCAGGTATCAAGAAAGCATATATAGAGCAGATGAGCTACCAAATCATTAGATTAAAAAGTAGGCAGGTGATGTTCTCACAGAGATGAGTGCTATACTCATCTGAAAACAGATGAAGACAAAATAAAAGTTAATTTTTTTAATAACAAAATGAGGTATAATGGAGGGGGTGCACAGAGGATGATTAAATAGGATAAGAGAAGACTAGTAAGATAGAATCCTCAGAAAACTAAGCAGGAGTGATTTTGTTAATAAAGACAAATCTGGAGCCAGGCATGGTGGCACACACCTATAATCCTGGCCCATCAGGAGGCTGAGGCAAAAGGATAGCAATTCAAGGCCAGACTCAGCAACTCAGCAAGACTCTGTCTCAAAGTTAAAAATAAAATAAAATAAGAAAGAACTGGGGATATAGCATAGCACCCCTAGGTTCAATCCCTAGTAGAGAGGGGAGGGGGAGAAGGAGAAATTGTAATAAATCACAAGACTTATTTACAAGACTCCTAGTAGGTTCAAGTATTTGTTGAATTAAAGTCTATAAGCACAAAAATGATGTTCTAAAACTAGTAAGACTAGTATTTGGTGAACCTCATTTTAGGAATACATAAAATTGGAGGAACAATTAAAAGGAAAGAGAAGATCATCAGCTTCTTTTGTTAAATAAATGTTGCCTTTTTGTTTACACTTTGCTCTTTGGGGCAGCAACTAATATAGCCATTGACTTTGGCACTCTAAGCTATCTATCTGTATAATATTTACTTTCAAACAACCAAACAGAAATCATCATTATCTTGCTGTATATATTAGATAACAAGCCAAAGCCCACACTGATGTTAAACACTTGGTTTAGAAAATGCAAATAGTGAAGTATGTAAATGGAAAGCCTCATTAAGTATTTTATATTCCAAAATCTAGAAAAAAGTGAAATTATTTTCCAACAGGGGCACTTGCCACTTATATTACCTCACTCAAGGTAACTCACCTTAAGAATAACTTATGAATGTGTTGCTGTTTAATTTAAAATCTTAACAATTTAGAAGTCAATTTAAAAGTGAACTTTTTAAAGTATCATGAATCTAAYAGAAATTGAACCCAAAGCCAACTAAGACATAATATAAGTAGCAGATAAAAAATGCTATGCTCCTCAGCATACAGCAAGTGAGAAGCAATTTATCAACAACTTTATGGCTCTTCTCCATGTGCCCTGATTTGTCAACAGAAAAACACTAAACAAAAATTGGTTTATTATCCTTTTACCAGCTTTTTTTTTTTTTTTAAAGAGAGAGGGGAGAGAGAGAGAGAGAGAGAGAGAGAGAGAGAATTTTCAATATTTATTTTCTAGTTCTCGGCAGACAAAACATTCTTGTTGGTATGTGGTGCTGAGGATCGAACCCAGGCCGCACGCATGCCAGGTGAGCGTGCTACCGCTTGAGCCACATCCCCAGCCCCCTTTTACCAGCTTTTGTAGTTCTCAAGAATTTAGTCTCCAAGTCTTCTCTGCCAGAATTCATTTACTTAGATAACTTGAAGCCACAACTCATAGCTGATGCCTACATAATTTTTCAATCCTGTACTTGAGTTACAGATATCATATCATCTATCTCCTCTTCCTCACTGCCTCTGTCTCTGTATTAAATACTCTACCTGAATATAGGCATTTCCACTGGAAGTTCCTCTACCACCTCAAACTCAAAATGACCAAATTCAAAATCATAATTATAGTTTCTATAATTGAGTACCCTCTGCTAATCTTTTCTGTCAATGATATTATTTTTACTAGTCATCTGACTTCTTCCTCTCCTTTGCCCTCATATTCTTTTTAACAATTTTAGGTCTCCTATATTTCGATTGTCGTTGTCCGCTACCTGCAACCCAGCTAGGCCTCTGGAACACTTAACTGTTGGTTTCTCAAACTTACTCCATTCTCCCCTCCAGCTCCTCTTCCTAAAACTCCCAAATGAAGGAGCAAGGTTAACAGAAAGGCAAGGTGCTTGGGACAACCCGGGGATGGCACAGGATCAAAGCAAGAGACAGGTCATCCAATCCCAGAGAAACGGCTGAAGTGTAGTACACTGGCTTGGAAAACAGGAATAGGAGCCATTCTCTGAAGTGGGTCTTAGTGGCAAAAGGGGCCAGGGATCTACAACACTGCCCCTATAACATCCACATGCATCACCTCCTCAGATACCTCGGTCCAATGCAGCCAGATGGACCAGAGTGCATCCAGGGCTACCTCTTCTCTCTTCGGAGGTTCAGGTAATGAAAACTGCTTCTACTGGCTGGTTTCTTCACCCAACTCCAAAGGTGCTAAGGTAAAGAAAGAAGAGGAAGTCTGTCTTGGATTCAGATTATACCTCTTCTTCTTCAATCTCAGCACCTGGGAACTAAACAGCTTCAACTTTTCTTCAGGGAGAATAAGTTTGTGATTTCATTTTAATGTTGTAATTGTTTTTTAAATGACTGGGGTCTGTCTTAATTTCTGGAATAACCAAAATTGACAATAATGTCAGACCAAGACCTTACTAAGGGACTGCCCTTCAGAGGAAAGTTGCAGGGCTGAGTGTTTTACACAGTATAAATAGGGACCCGTTTAAAAAAACAAAAAAAAAGGGCTGAGGAGACAGCTCAGTGATAGGGTGTTTGCTAGTATGTGTGATCATGGCCTTGAATCCGAGTCCCAATACTGTAAAATAAACAAACTTTTAAATACTTATTCCCATAGTTGAGATTCCACACTAAACCAGTAACATTACTTTTCCAATCTTCTCTCTCAACATATTCCTAAAATAAATGCTTCACTATACTGTCTCATCAGTCTACTAGGATTCCCACAACACACACATTAACATTTCCATGGTTTTGTTCTCATCCATATTGTTCTTTCCTTCAGTCTATCTAGAGACTAAAAATATGTTTAAAGGACTGATTCTAATATTAAATCTTCCTCCAAATTTTCCCTCATCACAAGTACAAAATAATCTCTATGTAAAGTAAAACACACTGCATTTATGCTCATTAAGCAGTTCAAGCCTTTCTTTCTTATGACATTTTTGAGCAGGCATCCTTCCACCTTTTAAATGAGCTTTGTTTCTGCAAGAAGGAACCTCATTCTGAACTCAAGTCAAAGTTCTTAAGTCTCAAGCAGTATAATAATAAATAGGTAAATCTATTTTCTACGTTAATTGCTCATTTTTGCAAATGCTGTGCAGCAGTTCTCGACAATGGTGGAACCCACGGGGTTTACACAATGATCTGGCATCCACACATCATTTAGTGGGTGGGTAACAAGCTGTAAGACAGCGCAGAACAACAAAAATTTTCCTTACATCCTGCTGCATATTCATCTAGGAGGCAAAATAATCAACTGTTTTTATAATTTCCTAAGCTTAGGATCAGTTTTACATATTGYATAAATTAAGGAAGACTGAATTTAATCTCAAAAAACAGTATTTTCTATACATTCTCCCAGTAATATGCCTATAGCCTCTGAAAAAGTCATCATGTAAGCTGACATCTGGTAATCACTTAGAACTTGGAAACTTAGTGTTCTAATGATCAAATAATTATTGACTGAATAACAAAGAAAAAAGAGAGGATTAAAAGAAAGGAGAGGGTTAATCAAGATCTATGTGATCTACTACCAAAGCCATTACCAAAGATTAAGTAACTGCAAAAGAATGGTAATAGACAAAAACAAACAAAAAATATAATAAGCTTTGATTTTCTCCACAATAAACTATGGGGAAAAAACTAGTCAGCTGAGTCCTCCAACAGGCCTTTCCAGTTGGCAATGCTGATGCAGACCAATTTGGATGCTCTTCAAGTTTTTGTTTTGGGAGGGGAGTTATCACCAAAGCTACTAAGGATAGAATAGCCTAGTACTAGATTAAATGGAAAGGATGCAAAACTAAACATTGACAAGATTATTTTAGAATAATAAGAAGAATTTAAGAAGAATCTGTACAAATCAAATTCACATGCTTAAATAAATGCAGTAATTACAATTATAGATTACAATATAGGTTGCTTTTTCAATGTTAAAAGTAATACAAGATATTTCAACTCTTTATTAACTTTCACTTATTAGGGGAAATACCATATTTAAAACATTATAGTAACAAAACTCCTTTTAATTCAAACATTTATTTTTCCCAGAGTTGTTTGTGTTTCTGACACAGTACTACAGGACCAATTCACACTTCAAAACTGTTTCAGTAGGTGAGAACTGGTTTCGCTCTTGCTGGAGCTCATCAGCTGTAGGCAACTGGTCAAGAAGCAGTTTTTATGTGCCTTAAAGCAAAGCATGATCTACCTTGAATTTTATTTCTTTATGAAGGAATGAGTGTTTAAAAATTATTTACAAAGTTATATAAATAAAAACACTTTTAACAGTTTTGGGTTCTCTTTCCTGTTTTTTCCACTAATTAGTATTATAAACAACAAAAACTTAGGCTTACTCAAGAAACTGCAAATACAAATTCATCCAATCTATAGATGTTTGGTTAACAGGTTATCAAATAAATGTGCCTCATACAAAGGTACCAAGTTGAAAATAACTTCCAGAGTAGATATTAACCCATTTGTTAAAAACATATTGAAAATCTACATGTTCTAGGTGTTGGGAACACTACAGGGAATAAAACAGACATTCCTCATCCCTCAAGGTGCATGCCTGAGGTGAGATGTAGTGGACCAATACATAAAGACTATGCTGTCTTTTATTCTTGTGTTTTGTTGCTAAAAAACCACAAAAGCATTACAGACCATACAGCCTTTATTTTAACATTACAGCATTTTAATGTCTGCCAGTGTTCCATCAGAATATACACATATATATATAAATTCATAGGTATTTTAAATCCAGAAGAACCTTAGTTCAACCTAAATACTTTATAACTACAAACTTTGAAAGTATAAATTGTACCATTCAAGCCCCAAATAATATCATTAAATAATATACATTAAGATAAGCAAACTGAGCCTTGAGATAACTCCTTTCAACATAAGCTTTACTGTTCTTTATAGTAAAAGTTTAAGTATAGCAAGASGGTTTTGGTTTCTTTCTTTCTTTCTTTTAACATATTCCCTCAAATACATTTGAAAGAAGTATAAACAAAACTTACCTTTCTATCAGTTTTAGCAAGATTCTGAAACGGCAATTAAATTCAGAAGCAAAAATCAATGAAAAAAGCATTCACATAGTTCAATATCATCTGCTCACACCATCAAACAATTGATTTTCACATATATTAACTTGAAAAGACATACTTTCCTGGATAAAGTTTTTAAAAGTAACAGTAAAAAATTGAACATAAGAAACATAAATACCTTGTTTTCCARAATGAAACTGTCTAATGCTTAAGTTTTATTTAAGATGAATTTACACAGATCCAATTCTACTCTTAAAACATAAAAACTGAGKTGCTGTTTCAAAGAACTCTAGATGCATTATGCAAAAAGGAAGACAAAAATTTTTTTTCTGTACTGGGCATTGAGTCCTCTGCCTCATAGTACATGCTGCACACTACCACTGAGCTATGCCCCCAGCCCTTTTATTTTTTATTTTGAGACAGGGTCTCACTAAGTTGCCCAGGCTAGTCTTGAACTTGCAATCCTCTTGCCTCAGCCTCCCAAGTCATAGGGATTACAGGTATGCACTACCACACACAACCAGAAAGATACAGTTTTTAAAGTGCAATAGTTAAGATCTTAATTAAGCTTTTGGGTAAAATTGAATACATTGGGTTTTCTTAAAAATAAACACAGTTGTAGAATTTAAAAGTTTCTTTTAGCTCACCAGTTTAAAAATTTGTATTATGAAGCCAAAGTCATTTATTGCCATGGAGGTCTTTCAGCTTTGTACCCAAGACTTGGGGCAGGGGGAATTTTTATGCTATATGAGTTATTATCACCTGCGTGTTCATGTACAAACACACACACAAAGATGTTTTTAAAAGGGATTAAGATAAGACACCCCAAATAGTACCAAATCCTATGACAAGATAACAAGAGAAAGAAAAATTATGACCCATCATGATTCCAGAAAAAAAAGGGTCAGTGACCACATCATATATCACAGAAGTTATATATGTTAAATTATCAGTTTGGTATATTAGAGTCATGCAATTTTAGATACCTCTAATAATTTTTTTTAAATATTAAAACAGAGAGTTTATTAATACAGAAATTTTAATTTGCAGCTATTTATATTGATATCACTACTTGCACTTCAATTAGTCTAAGAAAATATGAAAAGTTTTTTCAATTAATTTCTMTTCCAAATCCAAAAACTAAAAGGACAAAAGAGAAAGCTAATAGTTAAAAAAATAATAACTGCAAGTTGTAAGTCTGCTTTATGTTAAAGAGTTTGGGCTAATATTTAAATTTTGAATCCACCTTTGGTCTAGATTTGGTTAATATGGTATGGTATAGTTTATAAAACTAATTATTTGTTTGCCCTTAGTACATAATCCCACAGAAGACGATGAGCTCATTTGTGTTTTAATGACAGAAAAATGTTAATAAATAGATCCACTCAATACTCTGCTGGACCTAATTACCCCCAATGTTTCTCTTTATTTACTAGCCAAAATAAAAATTTTAAATCTCAGTAACTAGTAAAATTCAAAGGATTATTTGAAACAATTTAAGATTAAAGGATCAATTGTTTATGATCCCACTGCTGCCTCTAAAATGATTAGTAAGTATAACACTCACAACATTGTAAACCCAGTAACATGTTTATAAGAAATTCAAGAACTGGTTCTAGTATTTAAAAGTAGAGATAAGAAACAAATGAGAAACCTAAGTTTTACTAAAAGAAAAAAAAAACTTCAGGTTAAGGATTCTTACTTTAATTGACACTGTTTGAGGGCTTGGGAAACTAGGGAAGATTTATTAATAGTACATGTTTTTAAAATGAATATACTAGACAATTATCATTAGCTATGTTGTTACTATACCAAACTCTTTGGTTTATGGATCAGAGAACTAAAAGGTTAGAGTGGTGACTGTATTGCACATTAGACACTCCTCTCAGCAACAAATAAGATTCTAAAATGTCAATTACTTTCTATGGAATCCCTAAAATTTAAAGAAACTTTTAAGTTTATACACAACTACTCTGAATTAGATAAGGCCCCCAAAATTAAACATAATCCATGCATCTTCTGGGGGACTCCTCAATAATCATTTTCCCTACTACCCTGCAAGATTTATGAACTACCCAATATCTTATCTGAATATGTTTAATTTAAAAAACACAAAAAGACCAAAAAGGAAAAAAAGAACTAGGCTTATTTATCATGTTTTTCATTTCAGAAAGAACTGAAAAGTAATGCACACAGAACAGTGTACTTTATACACAAAGATACTTCAGTTTCACTCTCAATGACTCTAGAACCTTAATCTTTTCTGAAAGATCACTGCCAAATAGGAAGGTGCAATTAATAGTTGAGATGGCCACACCCACAACCTACATACTAAACATTGATTTTTCTTTTAATGACTACTAGTACCCATCTTGAAACATTGTTCCACTAATTTTCTGCACATTTTCCTTAGAAAAAAATACCCTATTTATTGTTTTGGAATAAATAAAAAAGCTGGGCATCAAAGGAACATGATACATATGCAGAGAAAATTGCCGGGTACCAAGCACAGTACAGCATATTTTTCCTATACTCTTCTGATTCCCACAGGTTGCAAGACTATTAAGAGAAGGAAGCWGGATTCTAATACAGATTTTCTGACTATATAACCGGGCCTCTTAAGTCTGGACAAAATCAAAATATAAATATTTGCTGAAGTTGCTAAATTGTTAACGGCTGAGCAATAACTACACCTGCAAGGCACTGCTACCCAGTATTGCTATTTGGGAGACATATGCAAGAGATTTTTTGTTTTGTTTTGCTACTTTACATGTATGATGGAGACATAAATTTGGAATTCCTTCCTAAKCAAGTAAGGTTTAAGAAATGCCTGATGTCCTTGTTTAAAAAGCAACATAATCCCGGTGCCCTGTAAGACGCCTGTCATCCCAGCTACAGGGGAGGGTGAGGCAAGAGGATCGCAAATTGAAAGCCAACCTGGGCAATTTAGCGAGTCGTGAATTAAAATTAGAAAACAAAAAATAAAATAAAATAGCCGGGGACGTAGCTCAGTGGTGCCGCGCCCCTGAGTTCAGTCCCCACATAGGGGGCAACATAAAAACAAAGAACCGCATCTCTCAAAGATAYCAAAGAATCATTTCTAAGTAACTTAAAATCATGGTCATGGAAGTGTTTGGAAAGGGGTGAAAAGTCGCCACAACAGTAAAGGCGAAACTTGGAGCCCAACAGTGAGATGGGTGAATGACTGTGAAAGATCTCCGAGCAGGTGGAGCTCAGCCGCAGTTTCCACTTGCAGCCCAGGCAATCCGCCCAAATTCGGCAGCTCTCGAGGCACAGCTCTCGAGGCACAGCCCGAGGCCCCGCTGCCCCGTCCCCGCCGCCCGCTCCCCGGGCCCCCGCTCCCCAAGGGAGGCGGCGAGGAGAAGGGGCTCCGAATCCCGGCGCCCAGCGCTCGCCTCTGTCCTCCCGCAGGAGAGAAGCCGGATCCGGAGGCGGGCAGCCGGCCTACCCCCGCCCCGGGCCCGCCGGACCGTCCGGGAGGTTGGCAGCCCCGCCGCGCCGCCCCAGTCGGTCCCGGACGCCCCTCGGCACTCACCCCACTTCTCCAAGCCTCAGGCCGCACCCTAACGAGGCCGCTGGAGCTCCGGCTCAGGGGCCAACCTCTCCATGGCGGGATCCGCCGGACTAGAAGTGGGCGGGGGAGACAGCTGCGGGGATCGCGGCCCACCCCTCACTTTCTCCACAGCCGCTKCCCCAAACCCCCGCGGAGCTGACACATCAACAAAGATGGCGGCGACACTGAAGCCGGACCGGCTACAGCTGAGGGGGCGGGGCTTCCCGAAGGAGCCAATCAGCACGGCGCAGGCGGCGTGACGCCACTCACCTTGAGGTGCGAGGTAACCTGTCTGCAGTGGGCGGGGCCGGCACCGCGCCGCCTCCTGCCTGGCGACCCCGGGAGGTCACACCCGGCTTTGAGCCTCGCCGGGCTTCCACGCCCCGGCCAACCCCGCAAGCCGGCTCTCTAGTCCTTAGACCTGTCCGACCGCTCACACCCCTCCCCGGCACGACGGGGTGGCTTCTTTCGGTAGGAAGCGCTCGATGGGGTATTATGTCTCCTCCTTTGGCCTGTGCTCGTGTGAGTCAGAGGCATAAAACAATAAAAGAATTCGAAATAGTGGTTTCCSCGGCTCTGACGCTCAAACTTTGCACCTCACATGGGTGGGCGGAGACCACAGTAGCAGCCTACCTGCCCATTTGACAATTTGTCCCTGGGAGAGACCTCCGGAGGTTTCCATAACACCAGAATTCAGATTTTCAGAGTGGCAACTACTGCCATTGTTTAATAATAAAATGTTGGCGCGTTCGGCTCCTGAAAAGGACTAAACGCCTTTAGGGCTGGAAGTAGCTTTTCCGGCATGCTGCAGGGCCACAAAAAGGGTATGGAACATTGTTGCTAGGCAAGGTCCACACAAGTTAAGTGAATGGTTTTAGTCTGCGGAAGTTTGCAAACCTCCTCTCTCCAGTGAAGCTGTGTTCTTTGGTTTAGGACCTCTTAAGCACAACTCATGAGTGACCGTAATTAATTCAGACGAATTTACTACAGGGATTTGGTGAAGACAAACTTACTACCGTTCTGTTAAACTTTTTTTTTCATACTASCTGAAAAATTATCCCGATGCCTAACTTCTGTCCTTTTCAAAAACAAATGGCACCTCCCTCCTCAAAGGAATCGTATTAAAACACACTTTGCAGATAGCATGTTTGTGATGAAGAAATTATTTGAATTTAAAATAATAAATCAGGCAAACCTTTTAGTGTTGGGGCAGGGGGGAAATCAAAGAACCTAAGTTGTTTCGGTACTCTTCTTGTCAGTAATGACATTGGCATTTGTTATTCCTGAAATTTATTTCTGAACTTATAAGTAGTATAAAGCATATATGATGTGTCTTTCAGAACCACGTTTTTCACTATAAAAGAAATARAAATACGAAATAAAATGAAACAATGAAATTATGCTTATATTTGAATATTTAGAAAAATGAGAATGAACTCAATGCATTTTATTTTTTCATTAAGAAGTTTGGGGCTGGGGATGTAACTCAGTGGTGAAACACTTGCCTAACATGCCAAGCCCTGGCTTCAAACCCTAGCACTGAAGAAAAAGAAAATTAAAAATCTGCTCACAGAAAAGGCCTAACACAATAACCAACCTAATGCATACCCCTACTCTGCAGACTATGATCTCTAAATATCATTTCCCACTAAAATGTACCTGGACTGAAAAAGTTACAAGGTCTGATTCCAAATTTGAGGCAAAAATGTACAAAATAGACTTAGGGAWTGATGGTTATGCTACTTAGATGTGGGCTTCACATAATGGCTTCCTTCATAAGTATTTAGTGTGTGTGTGGTGGGTCCGCAGAGTAGAAAAATCTAATATATCTCAGCAAGATAATCAAGTCCAACGTCAAATGTCCTAATTCATGTTCAGGGCAGACTTGGTGGCACAGGTCTGTAATCCCAGTAATTTGGGAGGCTGAGGCAGGAGGATTGAAACTGTGAGGTCAGCCTCAGCAATTTAGCAAGACCCCGCCTCAAAATAAAAAAGAGCTGGGGATGTAGCTCAGTTATAGAGAGCCTCTGAGTTCAATCCATACTGCCAGGGAAAAAAAGTAATACTAAGATAGAAATAATGTTTGTAGGATATACAATTGATATGATCAATGAAAATAGCACTTTATTTCAATAACCTACAACTCCATTTCTATCATGAGAAGGATATCAATAGTGGGGCCAGCATCCTGCAAAAAGCCTGACTCCTGGTCATCAAAGAAAAATTTGAGAAACAGCCACAGACAAAGAGAGCCTAAGGAGACATAACTAAATTAATGTAGTATCCTGGTTGAGATCCTGATTCCAAAAAGGGAYAAGTAGCTTAGGTAGGGGGAGAACATAAGGAAATCTGAACAGACCATTGACTTTAGTTAACAATATATCAAGATTGATTCCTTAAGTGTAAGAAATGTATCATACTAATTCAACACTTTAATAATAAGGGGAACTCTGTACTTTCTTACTTATAATACACGTCTCCACATTTTCTTTAAAAAAAAGTACAATATATTTTTTTAAAAATACAAGTCTGGTTTTTGTATCAAAACGTTGTAGGAAGAGTGACTGGAATGCAGATGTCGCCAAAAGTGACCGTGAATCGATAATGTTGAAATTAGGTGAAAAGTGCATTGGGAGACTACCATTCCTTTGAATATGTCATAAAAGCTTTATGCCAAAAAAAAGAGATAAAAATGTTTGAGCAACACCAACAGATAGAATCACAGATAGAATCACAGGCCCTTAATTAGACTCAAACACCCACAACAGGTGAATTCACTCTCCATGACCAGGCAGAAGTGGCCCTTCAAAAGACTTTCAAGTGGCCGAAGGGATCCGAATGATTTTCACAAACAAACCGGAACAATAACTTTGCCACGTTTGGGCAGAAGACCCTCGGCACCCGCAGCCCCAGACCACCCTTGATGCTCAAGGCCACAGAACGCGCCCAAGGCCCAGAGCGCGGCTTCCAGGCCCAGGGAGGGCGCACGTGGGGCGTGGCGGGCGCACGTGGGGCGTGGCGGGCGCACGTGGGCGCGGACTGCGCAGGCGCCGCGCTGGAACCGCGAGGGCCGGCTGGACTTTAGGGGCGAGGGGAGCGCGGGGAGAGCACCTGGGCCGCGGGGCTCCCGGCACTGGCAGCCTCCACCACGGCCAGGCTTCAGAGACAGGTTGGGGTCAGCGGCCCTTTCGCCTCCTTCCAGGTCAGGGTTCCCAGGCGCCAGGGTGAGGGAGAAGGGCTGTGTGAGGGTGACGGGGCTTCCAGTCGTTGGAGGCCGGACGTTGGACGCTGGACGTTGAGGTTGGGCGTTGAAGTTGGGCGTTGAGCGGGTGGGTACCAGGCCTGGAAGTGGAAAGAGGATGGAAGGGTAGAGGAGACCTTGGAACTTTGGCTGAGAAGGGCAGGTCTAGGAGGTTTGGGTGTGGGCGGATTCCGTGCTGGTTGGAAGGACCCAGGACTTGGGGTGCCAGCCGGCAGGGGCCCTGCCACTGTTTTGGAAATAGTACTTGCAGACTTGAATCCCCACGATGTCAACATTCCCCTTTGCTACAAAAGAAACTTGTGATTTCATTGCTTGAATTCAAAGCTGGAGTGCAAACATTATAAATTACTTAACTCTTCCCCTAACACCTTCTATAGGAGAGGAAGTTGCACCACCACATTCACCGAGATGTGAGTGAGCCGGCGCTGGTTTGCCTAACAGGTGTTTGTAGTGCCTGCTGTGTGCCAATCGCTTTTCCGAGGCCCCTGCTATAAATAACGTTTTCTGTCGGACCTCCGGAGTTAGAGCAGGTGCTTTTAGTTCCCTAGACGAGACACCACGGTACTGCATGCAAATTTGCACAGCTATGGGTGTCACCTGGGTAAGGTGCTGGACCGGGGACGGTGGGATGAGGATGGGGAGGTGACAAGTTACTCAACTTCCCGTTACTCGTTTTTGAGGAACAAATAGACGTTAATCTTCAGATTTTCATCTTAAAAATGCAAACTCGTTCCTCATGGGAAGATACTGGTTTGTGGGAGTGGGATATCAGAGCAGAGGGCTGGGGTTGTCGCTCAGTTGTAGAACTCTTGCTTAGCCTGTGCAGGCTCTGTGTTCCCACCCCCAGCGTGAGGAGGAAGTTCTTGAGCAGCAGCCCCCCCCCCCCCACCGCAGGGGCAAGTTTCGGTACAGTATCCTTTAATCTTCGTGATTTGGATTTATGAGGAAGTTACTATTGCTGTCCTCACTTTACAGTCTCTGAATGAATAGTAGACAAATGAAGTGATTTGTCCAAGACAGCAAAGTTAAATGAGGACGCTAGGACTCGGATCTGACTTCAAAACTCTTTATCTGCTACACCCACTGAGCTTTGTAATTTTAAGACAATGCTTCCTTTGAGTAGAATGGCTCTCCTTGAAAGTTTGGGATTACCAGGAAGATAAAAGCCAACTTTARAAAGGAAAACCATTACATCTAAGTATCTCTGCATGCACTTTTATTATTAAAAGAAACAATAAGGGTTGACTTGAGCCCTGGGCACTGTCAGGAATCTGCCAGGAGAAGTCGGAAGTCACAGTTTATRCAATAGGGTTTCAAGATTAAAACATACCCGGTGGTTGACTCTGGATTAAGCTAAATAGGTATAAATGCAAAGTCTTATGGGTGTTTTTTAAATGTAAACTCAACCTTAAAAGCCTGATGAGTCCCAGTTGTGGTAGTTAAACAAAAATCTATGTGTTAAAATTCATAGAACTGTAAATCAAAAAGAAAAAATCAACTTAATGGTATGATAAATACATGTTTTTTAAAAATCCAAAAGTTTTTAGGTGATGGAGGGTTATATTTGGATTCAAAGCAGTCCTGGCTATTTGTTCCAAATGCTAMTGCATGAATGGAAGTAAAAGTGTTCAAAGACAGGGATGTCAGGACTTACCACCAGTTTACCTGCAGTCTTGTGCTCAGCTGTGAGAGTCAGCTGTATGAGGGTGTCTGATTAACTAGAGAAAGTTTAGAATGTTGAGGAATCTAAGAGGTGTTGTATGAGCAAGTGAAGGACCTGGGAGAAAGGAAAATTCATGGCTGACTCAGATGTTTGAAAGTTGGGTCAGAGGCAGCAGAGTAAGTTGAGAAGAGAACCATTTTATTAAAAAAGGAATATAGTACCCTTGGCTGTGCCCAAATATAGTATGAAGCTTCTGATCCTGAAATGCACTGTGTGCTTGTCCTGGAAAGTTCCTGAATGTGGTGAAGTAGTGAGGTACCCTTCAAACCTGCATATTCCACGACAGGTGGATCTACTTTTGAGTTTAAATCCTCTACTTGCTGCCGCAAGTTTACAGTGAGTGTAAGACTGGTACTATTCTTAAAGTCAAATATATTTACAGAACTTAGATTTGGAAGTGTGAGGCATGAAGTTCTGCTATTAAATTTCAGTAAACCTCATAGTATCTAATTCTCTATTTAAATCATTTCATCAGTGAATTTCATTCTTGTCCAGGTTGTCATGAAAATTGTAGTACACATAAAATAGTTTTTATCATAGAAATAGCTTCGGAATGCCTTATTGTACAAAGTACCTTGCTGGGGCGAAATCAAAGATTTTTTTATTTTTAATAAGACATGGTCCCTCTACTCACTCAACTTAAAATAACTTAAAAGACTTACCTGTCTGTGATTCACTGGCAACCTTAATAAATAAGGGCAAGTTATGAAAGGCTGTCTCRGGAGCGCTGTGCAGTGTACTGAAGTGGTTCCACTGGGCAAGATGATGCCTTTATCGCAACTATATGGTTTAAATATTAYTGTAGCCATTCTATGCAGAAAATAACAGTTACATCAATTTGAAATATTTAAAAATGTACAGATGAGGTTGAATGTTTCCCCTTATGTCCATCAACTAATAATCCTTTTTGTATGACATTGGTGCCTTTGGTGCATTATTTTATTGGCATGTATATTGATGAACTGCAAATAACAGAAAACCTGTAGGCTTATTTGTGTGCTAAGTATGRTGACTTGGATGCCACTGGGGACTTGGGCTCTTCACATTTTATGCTCTCCTCTCCTGAGTGTGTGCTTATTGTTTTTTCATTGCAAGACAAGAGGTTTATGTTCAGTCCACAGGTCCATGTTATAGGAAGAAAGGGGTAAAAGACTATGCTAGCCAAATCCATCCCTTTCCAATAAAAAAGGGCAGAGCTTCCTCAGAAACTCCACTTGAGAACTTTGACTACCGATAGTGTCACTAACTGTAGCTGGCAGGTCAGAGACTGACAATGGTATTTGGATCAGACTCTGCATACAGTATCTGGATTTTTTTTTTTTTAATACCAGGAATTGAACCCAGAGATGCTTAAACACGGAGCCACATCCCCAGCCCTTTGTTTGTTTGTTTTTTATTTTGAGATAGGGTCTCATGAAGTTGCTGAGACTGGCTTTGAACTTGAGATCCTCCTGCCTCAGCCTTTGATGCAGCTGGGATTACAGGCATGGGCCACCATGCTGGGCAGTATCTGGATTTTTAAAACTTATCAATACTTTTGAAAAAGTATCAAACTTACTGTTTCTGTGGTGTTACTTATTTCCTGGCCTATTTAACTATTTTTTAAGTTTTTAATTATTCACATAGTCATATTTGCTATCATTTTGTTTGTGATATTTTACCACTTTTAAACAGCAGCAAAGGCAAAAGCCTTTCATCCAGGTTTGTGTACACCATGAAGAGTGGAAATGGCTGGTATGATAGTGGGTTTTTGGAGTTCATATGATCTCTGTAGCCCAGAATTTGCACAGTGTTGGAAAGGTGGATATTGTTGGTTGTATTGGTCCCTATTTGATCAAGTTTATTATGTTACTAAAATATTCATTATCATTGTTTGTTTTCTGTTTGAATATTAATTGTATAAGGAAAGTGTATCCTTACCATTATGGATTGATTTTCTCCTTCAGTCTTTTTTTTTTTTTTTCCTTTTTAATTTACTGGGAGTTGAACCCAGGGCTTCTCTACCCCTAAGCTATATCCCCAGCCCTTTTCATTTTTATTTTTTAGGGAATCTTGCCAGGTTGCCCAGGCTGGCCTCAAACTTGCAATCCTTCTGCCTCAGACTCCCTAGTASCTGGGATTACAGTCGCCATGCCCAGCTTCCAGTCAGTTTTTGCCTGATTCATCTCATAGCGAGATTATTGTGACTCAGTGATTCCTGGCTACTCTGTTTCTTCAGTGTGTTTCTTTTACTAAAATATCTTTCATTGTCTAAATGATTTCTATGTTGAATTCTGTTTTATCTGCTATTAATATTAACATTCCACTTTTATTTTGGTTATTTGCATAACACATTTTTAATCCTTTTATTCTCAGCCTTGCTGTAGGATTTCTATTTCTGTGCRCCTTTTGTTAATAATGTCTGGCTGGATGTTTTTCTCCCTGAAACTCTTTTCTCTTCTAATTGAAACTAACCCTTTGATACTTGCATTACTTGAATATGGTTCTGTCTTATTATTTGGTATTTTCTATTTACCATGCTTGAATTATTTTCCTGTTTGATTAAACATGTTTTTCTTTGATTTTTAAACTTAAGCCTTCTATTTCATACTGGTTTTTACTCTATAATGCACATCTTTATATTTCTTGTATAGCTTAAGTTGCCTAAGCTTTCATATCCCCACCACCATCCAGTTTCCTCTGGAGATTATTTTCCTTTTATAATTTGACATATTGCTCTCTTATTGTATCCAATATTTTGTCTTATTGTATCCAATATTTTGTCTTTTCCTTTGGTGTAAGAAGTTTTTTGGTATAGGTGTACTTTTCCTGGCATCTGCAGTATCTCCCACCATAGCTGCCCACCTTGAATCCTTCTTTTGAGAATCTTCTAGGATCTGGGCCACCTTTGAATGCACCTGTTATTTCTTTCATAAATTTCACTATTATGTGTTGTCTTTGGGTTGGGATAGACCTAATTTATAAAACATGAGGTGGAAGTTTTAGAACACCAAGAGGGAGTATTTACCTTCTCATTTATTTTTTGTTCAAAACCATGTCAGACAGCATTTGAGGTATTAGTCATTGGTTTCAGTCATCTGTAACTTTTTTTTTAATCTGAAAAGTTTTAGGAGAATAGACAAAAATTTGCCTACAGTTAAAGTAAAAACTGATTACTACTTCAAAAAGAAGAGTTGCTTTTCTACTTTAGGTGCTTCCCCTGGACAGGACACTTGGCATCTTTAAGAGTAATAGGAAAATGACACACCAACATCATTTCTYTGAGGCACTTTGTGACAAATGAAATGGAAATTTTGCAATGTTTCTACCCATCTTYAGAGAAGGGTACAGTTTACAATGTATGAAAGTTCAGCTGGAGATTATCAAAGCAGGGTGCTTGGGAAAACTAGAAGGAACAGGGTTCAGCTGAGACAGGTTGTGGTGGATGGCCAGGATGGTAGGAAGGTGAGTGAGCAAGGGCATTCTGGGTAGCAGYCAGCTCATTTGAGGTCTTGGTGCAGTGTAATGTAGGAGAGGGTAGAGGGGTTCTGAGAAGGTAGAAAGGTAGGTAATGACCAGATTTAAATAAGAGTATCTATGGTATTATACCAGTAAGGTGTAGGCTTTATATTGGAAATATTTCTCTAAAAGCATGAAAGACCTTTTCCATTCCCCATATTTCAAAAGCTTTTAAAAGTAAGGAATGGTGTGGAACTCTGAGGTTACTCTTTTTAATGTCTTGAGTTGATCTTTTGTTGGTCTGTTATTGAATTCTGTTGAACTTGGAGTTTGTATTCATCCATAGGGAACTATTCTTATACCATGTAGGTTTCGATGTAAAGGTGAAATCTGCTTTTGAATTATTTATGGGGATTATCTGTTAAATATTTGAAAAAATCATCTGGGCCTACAATTCTACTTTTGCAATTAAAAGTTACCTCTTAAATATATTTATTTCACTCCTTAGACTTCTATGAATGTTAAGTTATCACCTAATATGATGTCAAGAAATAATTTGGAAGCATCGACTTGTAAAATGACCGAATCATTTAGTTTTGAAAAAAATGAAAGCAAGCTTCCACCACACGATTCCTTAAGAAGTCCTGGAGCACATCATAACCATCCTAATTTCAGGTTGAAAAGCCCAGAGAATGGAAATAAAAAGAACAATTTTTTGCTTTGTGAGCAAACCAAACAGTATTTAGTGAGTCAGGAAGACAGTTCAGTATCTTCAAACCCTAATGGCATCAATGGAGAAGTTGGATCCAAAGGAGACCGGAAGACGTTGCCGGCAGGTGAGTAAAAACCATGGGCTGCACGATGATGAGATGGTTTCTCTGAGTTTCCACAGGTATGCTTAGCTCCACCCGAGGGGTAGGAASAGGACCGCCAAATGACTGTAGAGTTTGCATGTAATTGTCAGTTTCAAAGAGACAAGTGCCAAGTGGCTACCTTTGGCTTGATTAATCACAGAAAAAATTACTCAAGAGAAAATGGCTTCAGAGGACCACCCCCACCCTACAATCAGAGAACTGTACTAGGAATGTAGAAAGGAAGCACATTGGATTTTTTTATGGATGTTTTAAAGATTGGCCATACTTTTAAAATAGCATGCAATTTTTATGCAGATAATAGCAGACAAATAATAGTAACCGGTTTCATGTGATTTGTTTTATCATTCCTTTGCTCCTAATTCTGAAAACCTGCTTTTGAAGGAGAGTAGGCCATAGCAAAATGAAACCTCTTTGAATGTGAGATATGAGTTTTTAACATTATGTTGATGTAATTCTCCGAACCAASGTGACCCTTGGCCCCTAGGGTTCCTCAGGAGGTCAAAATGATCTTCCTGAAGGTGCTTAAACATTTTGCTAAGCTGATTTTACGCTGACAGTGCAAAAGCAAGAATGGATGAATTGCTCTACATAACCTCTAGCCCCACCCTGGGCTAGTGGTCATTGAATTTTTCATTGTCATGTTCTTGCAGTTAAACAAAAATGCCAGCATCACTAAAAAATATCCTTCATGGAGCAGAAAAAATTATTTTATTAAATAATTAAAAATATATATTAATTTTATTAAATCTCGACCATTGTGTACAGGTATTTTTAGCATTTTGTGTAATGAAATAATAATTACTCGTAGCTTCTAAAGTATGAAAAAGTATGCATGTAACTAAGCTGTGAGCTGAAAAGGAGATTTTTTTTTCCTTTGAACATCCTTTCTACTTGAAGGACAAACTTTGTTTGGACTTAAATATTTGTTAAGCATTTTCTCAAAAATTAACAAAGTGAACTTGTCACTTCAAGGACAACAGCTGGTGATATTCTGTTGTCAAGAGATAAAATTCTAACTTCCAAACAAATTAGGATTTCAGGATTTTTGTGTCTGCTACTCTGATTTAAGAGCTTCTCTGTACTTTAAAGATTTCTGGTGAGATGCATGGTGATATTTACACATTTTGCCGGGATGGGGACAGGGTCACTTTGTTGCTGGGCTCAAACTCCCGGTCYTCCCTGGCAGGTGGAATTTCAGGTGTGTGCCACTATGCCCAATTTACACATAATTTTTTGACATTGTGTAATGGAATGTTTTGACATTTGACAGCTGGGAATAACTCGGCAGCATTTTCCATCGGTAAAGACTGCAAAGTGCAGGCTAAATTAGTGGTGGCATGACAAGTTCACTGATGTGGTTTTAGACTCCATGTTGCAGCTGACATTTAGACCACCACTTGAGCTTTGGTGTGATGTTAAAGGAAAACATTCACAATTATTTGAGAAGGCCATTAAATGCTCTTCCTGCTTGCGACTACCTCTATATGTGAGGCCAGATTCCCTTCAAATAACTGGCAAAACAGCATATCGTGATAGACTGAATGCCAAAGCATATACATGAATCCATCAATGTTCTGTAAGCCAAACATTAAAGAGAAATGGAGAATGTTTTTCTGTTCTGAAAAGTTTTTTTAAACAAATTAAGTTACCATGTAATACATTTATTTTTAAATGAATATTTCAAAATTTAGTTTTAATTTTTAATATAGTATGTATTAATAGACATAAGCCATGTAAACAAAAGTTCTTTAGGGTTGTCAGTAATTTTTATGAGGGTAAAAGGGTTCTGAGTTCTAAAAGTTTGAGAATGGCTGCCTTATTGAATAGGGGGAAATCTACAGTGACAAGAGGAATAGGCAAGAAAATTTGAGACAAGTCCTTTTTTCCATTAGGAAAATTGGGATGTTGCTTATTTATGGTGTAACTATAAGGCCATTATGCAGTTGCCCGATTATTTGAATATCACCTAATTATTCTATTTTACATTATCAGAAATAAAAGATAATATTTGGCTTTTATTAGGAATTGTGTTTTTCCTCCTCAGGAAACTCAGTGTCACCATTAAGTGCTGGAAATAATTCACCACCCAAAGAAATAAAAACTGTAAGTTTTTTCCCCTATTTTGCATWTTTAGATAAAAGATTCTAGCATTTTTGTATTGCATTAATAAAGAAGTATTCAATTTGTATGTATTGTTTGAGGTCAAATTTACTTTTCTTTAATCTAGTACCTTAAAAATACTCTTTTCTTTATGGGTAATTGTGTAGATTGTACAATTAAAAGTATAGAGAGTTCCTGGTTACCCTCTGCCCCAGTCTCTTGGTGGTGACATGCTACAGGACTATAGCACATGTATCACCCCTGGGGTATTATCCTTTATGGTCAAGACAGAACATTTCATCACTACTTGTGTGCCCTTTTATTGGCTACATCTATCTATCATCCTGCTCCTACCCTTTCCTTAATCCCTAATCCCTGGAACCACTAATATAATTCATATTTCCATAGTTTGATTACTTCAAGGATGTTGTGTGAGTGGAATTAGTATGTAACCTTTAGGGAATGGCTGTTTTCACTCTGAGTAGTTCTCTGGAGACTGAGCTAGGTGGTTGCATGTACCAGTAGTTTTGAGTCTTTTTATTGCGGAATAGTCTTCTGTGGCATGGATAACTTGTTTAACCATTCACACACTGAATACACCTGGCTTCATTCTAGTTTTTGGCTTTTAAAACCAAAACTGCTGTATCCAAGCTTTTCCTGCTCTAAGATAAATGCCTAGCAGTACAATTTTGAGGTCATGTAGTAGTGGCATATTTTGCTTAAGAAACAGCGAAACTGTTTTCTGGAATGACTGTACCACATTGTGTTYTCACCCAGAATGTGTGAGTTGTTCCAGTCTCCTCCATTACCAGCATTTAGTGTGGAGTTCATGTTTTATTTCACCCATTCTCACAGGTGTAGAACATGCATCATTGAAATATGTTTTTATTTCTATATGACATCAGAATGCATTACAATTCTTATTACACATATAGAGCACAATTTTTCATATCTCTGGTTGTATACAAAGTATATTCATATCAATTCATGTCTTCATACATGTACTTCAGATAATAATGACCATCACATTCCCATTCTAACCCCATTGCCCCCTCCCTTCCCACCCTCTGCCCTATCTAGAGTTCTCTGTTCCTCCCATGCTCCCACCCTCTATCCCACTATGAATCAGCCTCCTTATGTCAGAAAACATTAGGCATTTGGTTTTTTGGGATTGGCTAATTTCACTTAGCATTATTCTTCTCTAACTCCATCCATTTACCTGCAAATGCCATGATTTTATTCTTTTATTGCTGAGTGATATTACATTATGTATGTATGCCACATTTTTTATCCATCTATTGAAGGACATCTAGGTTGGTTCCACAGTTTAGCTATTGTGAATTGTGCTGCTATAAACATTGATGTGACTGTGTCCCTGTAGTATGCTATTTTTAAGTCCTTTGGGTCAAATGGTGGTTGCATTCCCAGTTTTCCAAGAAATCTCCATACTGCTTTCCATATTGGCTGCACCAATTTGCAGTCCCACTTGCAGTATATGAATTTACTTTTTTTCCCACATCCTCGCCAACACTTACTGTTGTTTGTCTTCATAATAGCTGCCATTCTGACTGGAATGATGAGGACATCTTACAATGGTTTTAATTTGCATTTCCCTGATGGCTAATGATGTTAAGTATCTTTTCATCCATTTGTTTGCCATCTGTATCCTCTTTGGTGAAATATTTCTTTGTGTCTTTTGTTCATTTTCTAGYTGGAGGGTTTGGTTTTTTACTGTTGAGTTTTAAAAACTTCTTCATGTGTTTCCGATACCAGTCCTTTGTTAAGTTGTGATGTGCTGGTATTTTCTTCTAGTCTGTAGCTTATCTTTTCAGTCTCCTAATAAGGTCTTTATCAGGAGAAAAGTTGTTCATTTTAATGAAGTCTGGCTTGACAGTTTTGCCTTGAGTGGCTCATACTTTTAGGTGTCAACAAATCTTAAGGACCCTTTGCTATTCTAGATCCAAAAATGTTTTTTTAAAAGTTTCATAGTTTTACTTTTTTTTTGGCAGTGCTGAGGATTGAACTAGGCAGTTGTGCTATTGAGCCACAGAGCTACATCCCCTACCCGTTTTTTTTTTTTTTTTTTAAATCCATTTTGAGTTAAGTTTAAGAAACTTGGGCTGAGGTTTTTTTTGTTGTTGTTTTGTTTTTGCCTGTGGAGGTTCAGTTGCTAAGTGTCATTTGTTGAAAATGCTAGCTTCCTCTTCTGAATTGCTTTTGCACTTTTATATATATATATAAAAAATYGGGTATATTTGTGTAGCTCTGGGTTTTGCCATTCTATTCTGGACTTTCTGTTGTTTCCCATCTGTGCCTACCCCTTCACCAGTACCRCACAGTCTTGATTATTAGAGTATATAATATGTCTTGAAATTAGGTAGAGTGGTTCATCCTCCTGTATATTTCTTTTTCAAAATTGTTTTAGGTATTGTAGTTCCTTTCCTTTCTCATATACTGTTTATGATAATCTCATCCATATCCACAAAATTATCTTGCTGGAATTTTTGTATCAATTACATTAAACCTGTACCTCAATTTGAGAATTAACACAATTGCTATATTGAATCTTTCAAACCATGGACACAAGTCTTTTATGTAGATCTTTGATTTTCTTCATTTTATAATTTTCAGTTTACAACTCCTGTACATGTTTTGTTAGATTTATACTTAATATTTCATTTTTTGTGTTCATAAATATTTTGTGTGTGCTTCCCCATGTTCATTGCTAATATATAGAAATATGATTGAGTTTGGATATTACATTCTGTGACCTTGCTGAAGTCACTTATTCAAGGACTGGTTTTTAGATCCCCTATAGTTTTCTATCTAGGTAACCATATCCTCTACATAGAGGGATAGTTTTATTTTTTTCCCTTTCAATATGTATGTTTTTATTTCCGTTTCTTCCCTTATTGCACTGTGTGAAAAAAAGTGGGACAGGGCTGGGGTTGTGGCTCAGAGGTAGAGCACTCGCCTACCATGCATGAAGCACTGAGTTTGATCCTCAGCACCACATAAAAATAAAATAAAGATATTATTATAACTAAAAATAAATATTTTTTTTAAAGGTGGGACAGTAGATAGCCTTATTTCCAGATTTAGGGGGAAAACTTCAATTTTGTGCATTAAGTAGAATGTTAGCTATGTGTTTCTATAAATGCAATTTATTATGTTGATGARGTTTCTCTATTCCTGATTTTTTGATAGTTTTTTTTTTATCATGAATAGGTGTTGAATTTTATCAAATATGTTTCTTGCATGGATCAAAAGTGGTGATGATTTTTACTTTGCCTATAAATTTAGTGGATTACATTGATATTTTGAGTAGTTAACCAGCCTTGTSTCTCTGGAATAAACCTCATTTGGTCATGGTGTACAACTATTTTTATATATTTTTGAATTCTGATAAAACTTTGCTAAAGATTTTTAAATTCATTTTCAAGGGAGGGCTTGTTTTGTAATTGTCTCTCTTTCACTTCTTTGTGTAGTTTGAATATCAATGTAATATTAGCTTTATAAGAAGCATTGGAAAGTGTTTCTTTTCTATTTTCTGGAAGAGAGATGATGGAATAAATAAATATTTATTTGTTAGTTTTTGTTTAAATATTTGGTAGGATTCTCCAGTGAAAACAGTTTGGACTTGGATATTTCTCCTGGTGGAATTTCAAAACTGATATAATTTAAAATTATTTAAATTAGTTCATATTATGATAGTTTTAGTTTATTTTTTCAAATTAATTGGTATATTTTGTCTATATTACCAAATGATGTGTGCAGAGTTGTTTAGTATATTATTTTGATGTCACCACAGTGCTATCCATGTTTCATTTTGGAAATTGGTAATTTCTGTCTTCTCTGTTTTCTTTATTATCTGTTTTACAAGAGGTTTGTAAATCTTATTGATCTTTTCAAAGAACCAAGTCTTGTTTTCATTAATTTTTTGTTTATTTTTAATGTTATTTATTTCTGCTTTTATTTTTACTGAGTTTTTCCTTCTTTTGGGCATTTTTTGTCATTTTTTGTTTTGTTTTTGAGTTATGTGTTAGCTTTCTTCAGTATAATGATATACCTGAGATAATTATATAGAAAAGAGGTTAAATTTGGCTCACAGTTTGGGAGGTATTCCAGTTAATGATCAAATGGCCCCATTGCTTTGGGGCCTGTGGTGAGGCAGCATATCATGGTGAGACCATGTGATGGAATAAAACTGCTTATATTATGACCAGGAAGAAAAAGAGGAAGAGTTTGGGTTCCCCTTCAAGGGTGTCTCTGATGACCTAAGGACCTCTCATAGATCCTAAAGGTTCCACCACCTCCCAGTAGCACCACTCTGGAGACTAGCCTTTAACATAACGGACCTCTAGGGGACATTCAGGGTTCAAACTATGGCAAGATGAGAGATTATATTGTCGATTTGAAACTTTTCCTCTTTTCCAATATGTTCATTTAAGGCTTTAAATTTTCCTCTAATATTTTTAGATCTATTTAAATTAGTTCATATTGTGATAGTTTTGAATGAAAACAAGACTTGGTTCTTTGAAGAGATCAACACTGCTTTAACTATGTCCCACTTTTTTTTTTTTTTTTTTTGCTACTGGGGATTGAACTCAGGGACACTTGACCACTGAGCCACATTCCCAGCCCTGTTTTGTATTTTATTTAGACACAGGGTCTCAATGAATTGCTGAGCACCTTGCTGTTGCTGAGGCTGGCTTTGAACTTGCGATCCTCCTGCCTCAGCCTCCTGAGCTGCTGGGATCATAGGCGTGTGTCACCGTACCCAGCTTCCCACAAGTTTTGATATTTTATATTATCATCTTTCAGTTCAAGGGTCTTTTATTAACCTGGAGACTTTCTGTTTGGCACATGCATTATTTAGAAGTATGTATTTTAGTTTTCAAGTGTTTGGAGATTATCTGTTCCTGCTACTGATTTCAAGTTTGAATCTGTTGTAGTCAGAGAACAAACTCTGTATGATTTAAATTCTCCCTTCCTCTTCATGCATACTGAGCACATGCTCTACCATGGGGCCACATCCCCAACCTTGTTTTTTTTTATTTTTTGAGGTTCCCCTACACCCCTRCCAGGTAGTAGGGATCAAACCCAGAGACTCATACATGCTAGGCAAGCAGTCTATCACTGAGCCACATCCCTAGCCCTTGAGGATTGTTTTGTGGCTCTGGCTATGGACTTAGTAGATGTTCTGTTGGTGCTTGAAAAGAATGTGCATTCTGCAGTCTAAAATGTTGGCTCAAATCGTCTGTAAATTCCTGATAGGTCTTTTTGATTAATTGTGATGAGTTTTTCTATATTCTTGTCAATTGTCTATCTAGTTATATCTATTATTGAGAAGAAGCATTAACATCTCTAACTATAATTATGGATTACCTATTCTTTTTTGAGTTTAATTTTTATTTACATTTGATAGCTCTATTTGCTACAAACACATTTAGGATTGGCACATTCTTTTTGGAATGACCCTTTTGTCATTGTCCCTCCCTGATTTTCTTTGCTCTGTAGTCTTTGATATTAGTACAACCATATCTGTTTTYTGTTAACATTGTTGAGGTACTTTTCCATCTTTTTAGTTACAACCTGTTTATATAATTATACTTGAAATGAGTTCCTTACAGGTAGCATATAGTTGGGTAACATCTTTTAATCCATTTGGTCAATCTATTATCTTTCAACTGGCATATTTATAATTGAGTTAATTATTGATATTTGAGGGCATTATAGATACAAAACTTACTGGCATCATCATTTTTCAATTTGAGTATAGTGTAGACACTACCTCTCTTTCCTTACAAGAATCCTCTTAATTTGTTTTATATGTAAGTTTGGGGGTTTTAGTTATACTTGGGAGGAATGAGGGAGAAGGCATCTCTTCTATCTTACCAAAGCAGTCAGTCATAAATCTAGTATTTAAAGAAATTATTACCAAGTTCTAATATTGCTCTTCTTTGTTCTTAATAGAAGCCCAGCAATAGTGTGTCTCCTGCACAGTCAAAAAAATCACACAAGTTGGTTGAAAATTCCTTGTCCATAAGTAATCCAGCGCTCTTCAACTCTTTAGGACCTCCCCTTCGGTCAACTACTTGCCATCGCTGTGGTCTGTTTGGTAAGCAGCTTGCTCTTAGATGTCCCTAGATAATTCTACACATTTGAAAAATATTTTTACTATGGCAGATAGTGTCTGTGTATCTTTGTATATATATTGTGTACCTGTCATTCATCTGCAGTAACTATTAACATCCTACCATTGATCTTTATCTAGATCTTTATGCTTTTTTTGATTCCTCAGTTGATTAGTATTTTTATGATTTTTTAATCATTTTTTTTTAGTTGATAGACCTTTATTTTTATTTATTTATATGTGGTGCTGAGACTCGAACCCAGTGCCTCACACATGCCAGGCAAGTGCGCTACCGCTGAGCCCCAGCCCTAGCCTCTTGTGATTTTTTTTTTTTTTTAAAGAAAGCATACATGTACTGAAATTCACACACACCGATCAAGATACAGAATATTGTCTCCTCAGAAAGTTTTCTGTGGGGGCTGCAGTTGTWGCTCAGTGTTGGTAGAGTGCTTGCCTGGCAAGTGTGAGTCACTGGGTTCGATCCTTAGCACCACATAAAATAAAATAAAGATGTTGTGTCCACCGAAAACTGAAAAATAAATATTAAAAAATTCTCTTCTCTCTCTTAAAAAATAAATAAAATAAAGGTATTATATTCATTTACAACTAAAAATTTAATTTAAAAAGTTATTTAAATCCCTTTCCCATCACTATACCCCCAAGAAAATGACCATTTTTTTCACTGTAAATTAATTTTGCCTGTCATAGAATTTCCCATGTATAAATTGATATAGTACAGGCTCATTTATATAAAGTTATCTAGAATAATATTTTTTAGATTAATCAATGCCATTGCATGTATCATTAATTACTTTTGTTATTGCTAAGTAGTATTCCATCACATGATTATATCACAATTTATTTTTTTAATTTATTTTAAATAGAATTGTATGTATTCACCATGAACATGATGTTTTGACATATTTATCTGTTTATATTGATGAACATTTTGGTTGTGTCAAGCTTTGGGTTATCGTGAGTTGTATCCCTAAATATTTTTGTCTAGTCTTTCTCCGCCCACCCAGTGCAGGGGTTTGAATCCTGGGGGTACTGTACCACTGAGCTACATCCCCAGCCAATTTTCTGTCTTGAAATTTATGTTTTACTTTTAGACAGGGTCTTGCTAAATTGCCTAGACTAACCCTGAACCTTGTGATTCTCCTGCCTCAGCCTCTTGAGTAACTGAGATTGCAGCTAAGTGCAATCTAAATACCTAACCATAAATTACACAGTTCCCTTCAAATGGTCTTCTTGAGGTGATTGATAGTGATGTTTGGTGGGTCTGGTCTCTGGGGACATCTTGATCTCAATAGCACACATCTGGCGTGCACCACCAGTGATGTCCTGGTTGTGTCCCTCAGGGTCGCTGAGGTGTTCTCAGTGCAAGCAGACATACTATTGCTCCACGGCCTGTCAGAGAAGAGACTGGTCTGCCCACAGCATTGTGTGCAAGCCTGTCCAGCAAAGGTAAGTGTTCATGAGCTTTGATTCATTAGGTAATATTGAAGAAGCTCTTCCTGATAGAATAAGTATCTCATCAGTTAAACAGAACTATTTAGAAGTTGTTCCATTCCGATATTTATTGAGATATAATGAAACATACAAACCTGAGGTGAATAGCTCTATGAGCTTAGTTTTATATATTTTAGACAGTACATATTATGATTTAGAACCTTAAATGAGTTTTTAAAAATGGTTATAATTTTAGAATGCCTTACTTTTAATCATGTTTGATTCCCTGAATTTTGGTAAGTTGAAACTTGCATAGTGCCTCTTGAGTAGTGATTTTTAAATGCATAAATCTTTGCATGTCATTTACCAGTTTACAGAAGTTTCACATATAACCACATTTTATCCTCAAGACTTTGTGTAAATGTAACTTAGGGATTATCTTCMTCAAACTAATAAGAAAACAGGCATAGAGACTGTGACTGCCTCCCTTTCATCCKGTGACACTTGGAAAGTAAGCTTTGCACACATGGGGTGGACTCTTGCATGGGCCCCTGCTGTGATCCTTCCTGGAGAAAGCTGCCTGGTTCTTTCTAGCTATTGTTCATTGAGACTTGAATGTAATTGCGATTTATGGTCTCCATTCTTAAATGCTCCATAGTATAAATATTGTAATCAGTTGCTTTATTTCAGTTTCCATAAACTTGAAGATAATAAGTCACCTTTTGAAACAAAGAACATGGAAGTGAAAAATGAGGTATGATATTCTTTGTCTTCATAGGAAATTTTAAATGACTCCCCTTTATTGAATAAGTACTTAAGCCAAATAAAATGTTTTAGGTCTGGGGATGTAGGATGTAGCTCAGTTGTAGAGCACTTGCCTAGTATGCATGAGGCCCTGAGTGTGATTCCCCATACTTCAAAAAACAATTCAGACTCATTTCTACATTTCTATTAATGTTTTTGTGTTGTTGTTGTTTTTTTTTGGGGGGGGGGGTTTACTAGTGATTGAACTCAGGGTCACTCGATCACTGAGCCACATCCCCTGCCCTGTTTTGTATTTCATTCATTCAGAGTTTCATTGAATTCCTTAGCGCCTTGCTTTTACTGAGGCTGGCTTTGAACTCAAAATCATTTTTCCTCAGTCTCCCAAGCTGCTGGGATTACAGGCTTGTACCACTGTGCCCAGTGTCCAATAATGTTTAAAAACAAAAATTTCCTATTAAATCCACTTGCTTTAATGATGGGATTTGATGAATTTGGTAGTGGAGGTATATGATAATTTTTTATTTACAGTCTTTCTCCCCACTGACTGTCAGTGCAAAATCACTTGGATTAGTTGAGGAGCCCTAATTAGTTGGCACCTRCGGGTGCTAGCTGTGAACAAACCCTGTAGGAATTCTATGTAAGGAGAATTTTCTTCCTCTTACTAGCTCTCTTCTTTTTAAATAACTATAGGAGCTGAATAATTTATAATTTGAAAACCTTGTATCCAACTATATTTATTTTTAATTTATTTATTCTAATTTGTTAYATATGACAGCAGAATGCATTACAATTCTTAATACACATATAGAACACAATTTTTCATATCTCTAGTTGTATACAAAGTATGTTCACACCATTTGTGTCTTTATACATGTTCTTAGAGTAATGATGTCCATTTCATTCCACCATCTTTTCTACCTCCATTCCCCCATCTTTTCTACCTCCATTCCCCCTCCCTTCCCCTCCTTCTCCTCTGCCCTATCTAGAGTTCCTCTGTTTCTCCCATGCCCCCCCCCCCGCCCCACTGTGAATCAGCCTCCTTATGTCAGAGAAAACATTCAGCATTTGGTTTTTTGGGATTGGCTAACTTCGCTTAGCATTATCTCCTCTAACTCCATCCATTTACCTGCAAATGCCATGATTTTATTTTCTTTTATTGCCCAGTAATATTCCATTGTGTACATACACCACATTTTTTTATCCATTCATCTACTGAAGGGCATCTAAGTTGGTTCCACAGTTTAGCTATTGTGAATTGTGCTGCTATAAACATTGATTTGACTGTGTCCCTGTAGTATGCTGTTTTTAAGTCCTTTGGGTATATAGACCAAGGAGTGGGATAGCTGGGTCAAAAGGTGATTCCATTCCCAGTTTTCCAAGAAATGTCCATACTGCTTTCCAGATTGGCTGTACCATTTTGCAGTCTCACCAGCAACGTATGAGTGTACCTCATCCCCCACATCCTCGCCAACACTTATTGTTGTTTTTATGCATAATAGCTGCCATTCTGACTGGAGTAAGATGAAATCTTAGAGCAGTTTTGATTTGGATTTCTCTAATTGCTAGAGATGTTGAACATTTTTTCATATATTTGTTGATTGATTATATATCACCTGAGAAGTGTCTGTTCAGTTCCTTGGCCTATTTATTGATTGGGTTATTTGGGGTTTTTTTGGTGTTTAGCTTTTAGAGTTCTTTATACACCCTAGAGAGTAGTGCTCTATCTGATGTGCAAGTGGTAAAAATTTGCTCCCRAGCTGAAGGCTCTCTTCACCTCACTGATTGTTTCTTTTGCTGAGAAGGAGTAATTCTGGATTTTAATTCTTATGCTATAGGAGTCTTATTAAGGAAGTAGGGGCCTAATCTGATATGATGGAGATTTGGGCCTACTTTTTCTTCTATCTTCTATTAGACACAGGGTCTCTGATTTAATTCCTAGTTCCTTGATCTACTTTGAGTTGAGTTTTGTGCATAGTGAGAGACGGGTTTAATTTCATTTTGCTGCTTATGGATTTCCAGTTTTCCCAGCATCATTGTTGAAGAGGCTATCTTTTCTCCAGTGTATGTTTCCAACTCATATTTAAAGATAAGTTTTAAACTGGGCACGGTGGGACATGCCTGTAATCCCAGCGGCTCGAGAGGCTGAGACAGGAGGATCRAAAGTTCAGAACCACTTAACACCTCGCTGTTGCACCCTCAGCAACAACGAAATGTTAAGCAATTCAGTGAGACCCTGCCTCTAAATAAATACAAAATAGGGCTGGGGATGTGGCTCAGTGGTGCCCTGAGTTCAATCACCAGTACCAAAAAAAAAAAAAAAAAAAAAAAAAAAGGCTACGATTTAGGTTTCTGTAGCTCCTTCTAGCCTCTAGTTTGAAAAAAGAGTGTCTTGAGTTTTAAAGCTTTAAGAAATTCACATTTGCCTTTATTCCTGGTGAATTATTATCTTTTCTGACCTTCTCAAATATTTATTCTTACAAAAACATTAACAAGTACACATTTATAATTTAAAACTATAAATTTCATTTACAATTAAAAGTAGCACTTCTACCTTTTTATTTTATTTTTTAACGAATTCAACATTATCTTCCCTGTGATGCCCTCATTCTTGGGTGACCCCTGTGCTGTGTATGCTGTCTGTACAAAATGAATTTCAGCAGCTCTTAGAGGCCATCCCTATTTCTGTTCTCTGTTACTTAAGCCTAAGAGTTAGGTTTATATGAGTCCAGCTGTTAGTGGCGACAATGTCGTTAACAGCCGTGCTTGTAAGTAACTCCTTTGTGTTTTTCAAACCAGAGTGACTGTCCACTTGGGGTTACTAAAGAAATAGCCACTGATACTGAGAAAATAATGTTTTCTGACTTGAGAAGTCTACAACTCAAGAAAACCATGGAAATAAAGGTATTTTTTATTTAATTGCCATAGATCCAGGACTATAGATTTTTATTTCATTTCCTATTTTTAAATCGAGTGCATATAGTAGCTATAAAATATCCAATTAAATTATTAAAGACTACAAAAACTATGACACTTTTTGTGTCTGAGTTTTAAAGCTTTAAGAAATTCACATTTGTTTTTATTCCTGGTGAATTATTATCTTTTCTGTCTTTGAAAGGGTACAGTTACTGAATTCAGACACCCAAGTGACTTTTATGTCCAGTTATATTCTTCAGAAGTTTTAGAATACATGAACCAGCTCTCRGCAAGTTTAAAAGAAACATATGCAAATATGGTGCAAGATGAAGATTATATTCCGGTTAAGGGGGAAGTTTGTGTTGCCAAGTACACAGTTGATCAGGTAACCTGTGATGAAATGAATTATTCAGTAAAATGTCCTGACATTGGTTGTCCCACCTTGTCTACACCAGAGCTGGTGAAGGCTGGGATGGCTCACAGCTAGACTCTTCCTCTCTGTTCCCTGCTCTGTTCTCTACACTTCCTCCTGCCCTAACCTCTCCTCTGTTTATTGGTTCCTAAGTGGTTGCTGATCTTAGAGTTTGTGGTTATTTGTGTGGCTGAGACATCAGTGTAGAGTCTGCTGGACTGGAATAGCTTAGGAATACTTGTGAATATTAAAGTGTCCTAATTAGATGATTTTAGGAATTTCTTAGCAAGATTTGTAGACATTAAAGTTGAGTTTTTGAGTGCCTCTGAACAGAAGAGGAGCCTTTCATTTATGTGGTCTGTTGTTAATACAGAGGTTCTTTGAGAATGTGGAATGCTATTTGGAAGCAAAATTCCATTATATTTCCTTTCCAGACCTGGAACAGAGTGATAATACAAGATGTTGATGTGCTACAGAAGAAGGTACAAGTCTTGTATATTGATTATGGAAATGAAGAAATAATTCCAGTAAACAGAATTCACCAACTAAACAGAAACATTGACTTGTTTCCTCCTTGTGTGAGTCTTTTACTTTCTAAACTCCCATCAGTGTCCCCAGGGAGCTGTTTCTTAATGTTTAATGCTTGCTTCTGTTCTGCCAAGATTTCATACTTATTGGAATATCTTCTACTATGTGTATGAACACCCCTAGGCTCCACTTCAGTTATCCCTCATTTAGTTAAAAGTTCCTCAGGAAAAAAACTTTTAGGCACATCTTACCTATCTGGTGTTTACAAACTTTTTTTTCTATCTATTACTTGAAAGTAGCCAAAATTTTTTTTTATAATTGAAGTCTAATCATTATTCTTGAATGAATTTCTCAAGCTTCAGGTACCAAAAGTTAGCTTTAAGAACAGAAGTACCAAGAGAGACAAATACAGTTATGCCTAAAATTGTTTATCTGGTTAGTACTTAGACTTTTGCTAAGTTTTTAGCATGAAAACATCATTTTTATTAAAATACTTAAAAATTAATTAGAAATTTTATTTATAAAATTCATTCGTACTAATAACTTGCACAAAATTTTTTAGGCCATAAAGTGCTTTGTGGCTGGTGTTGTACCAGCAGAGGGGAATTGGAGCAATGATTGTATCAAAACTATTAAATCACTGTTCATGGAGCAGTTCTGCTCTATAAAGATTGTCGACATCTTGAATGAGGAAGTGGTTACCTATGCTGTAGATGTCATGCTACAAAATTCAGGTAAGATCTGAGTTTTCTTTTTTAAATTAAGGATTTAATATGTTATTCAGTCCCCACCTGTCACTTGGAGAAGAAATATAACCACAAAGGTGAAGCCAAGTAAACTCCTCTCTGGAGTCATTCAGATTGTGACTAAAAATGGGGGGTTGGATTGGCAGTTTATCAAAGACATGGCACAAATTCATAGAATTAGGTGATTTAAAAGGCCAGATTGGACAACATGGAAATAGGGATGATGTCATTCTCCTGTTAGTATAGCCGTTATGATGTACGCTCTTGGTTTCTCCTTCATTGCTGAAATTCCTGAATTTCTCACTGAATCCACTCATCCTCATCTGCCCCCCAGTCCTGCGTTCACTAGTGTGCAGTGTGTGAACTGTGGCAAGGAGGCACTGGGGATGGAGTTCCGTAGCAGTTTGGGAAGTGGCTTCTGTCAGTCTACATGCAGTTGCCTGTTGGTTTTCCCTCTGCTTTTATGGACTATGACATGGGTGACTTGGCAGAAAACGCAGTTAATCTGTTGAACTTAAGTATAAAGTCTTTTGTTGCTTGTTATGTATCTTTCATGTTATGATTTCAGCTCTTGGTTGTTATTTCAGGGAACTGAGCTTCATGTCAGGGCTGACGAGCCCTTGTTTCAGCCAGACTGTCAGTCTGAGAAAAAGTAGTCTTATGTCTTATTTTTTTCTCATAAATAGTGGTTATTCTAAGCATTCTTGTGGGGTAGTAACTGAGAAATCTTTTCATTCAGTTTACCATTGTGCTACTATGGGAATTTTATCTCGATTTTTAAAACTGGACATTACTAAACTGTCTTGCCCATAGCAAGTGACCTGGTAAAACATACCAGTGTGTTAATAGTTGTAATCTCTGCATCATGTTATTAACTTGTTTGTTTATTTTTAATGCTTTGTACAGTGTCTCAATAGAGATATATGTTCTTAATCACTTTTTAGGAAAACTTTTAGACCATGTACTTGTAGAAATGGGATATGGTTTGAAACCCAAAGGACAAAATTCTAAGAAGCAAAGCACAGATCAAAGTGAGTATTCAGATGAATATAAATATGTAGTGGCTTCAGTTATCGAAGAGCTTCTTCTCTTCTAAATCAAAAAGGCAGGACTGTAGCACTGCCCACACTAGTAATGGTGACAGTCCTTCTGTAAACTATAAGAAGGATGGTGTTTTTCATTTAGTAATATTTTCAATCTCAGTCTTCCCTGCCAGTCTCCTTCTCTGTGTCTAGATTAATCCTTAACATGGTAATTATCATTAGTATAAAGTATTAAGTATGACACTTTAGGCTGAGAACTTTTTAGCTCACATTTCCTTAGTTTAATTTGGTACTTTTCTTTATTTGAGTATTCCTATCAATAATATGTAGGTCTTTAAAATTCTGTGTTTATTTTTTACTTCTTGTTTACGTGTGTGTGGTTTTTCATTTAGTTTAAACAKATCAAGAAATTTTATCCTCAGAATTTTATTTTCTCATTGCCTAGGCATATGTTTCTTTTTTAAAATATTTTTTATAGTTGGACACAATATCTTTATTTTTATGTGGTACTGAGGATCGAACGCAGTGCCTCACAATGCAAGGTGGGCGCTCTACCACTGAGTCACAACCCCAGCCCTATGTGTCTCTTTATAGCCTGTTTTTCCTTTACTTTATTCCTTTACTAGTTACTTTGAGTGTAGACATGATTCATTGCCTCTTGCTGATGCATCCAGAGGTGATGCCAGATTCATGATTGGACACATCCTGCCACATAGACAAACCTGACTCATCGTGAAGTCTGCCTTCCCCCTTAGTCTTCCATCCCTTGCCCTGTCTTTGTTGATTCTTCTGTCCAAATGTCTTTTTTCCCCCTTTCTGTTCTAGCTACCATTTCCTTAGTTCAGGAATCCTCCTCATTCATGGTTAGTTGAAGCAGCCTTCTAATAACGTCTTTTTTTCTCCTGTCCATTCTCTTGGTACTTGCCCATGTGGTATCCCTAAGTCACAAATCTCAGGGCAACAGCTCTGCTGAAAAGCTCTCAGTAGTTCTTTGTCATCTAGAGGAGAAAACCAAACATATAGTGGTAGTAATGGTTGAAACTAAGTGTTGGTGGTGCAGAGTGAGGAAAAAYAATGAGGAAGGTAAATCTGGAGTCTATAATATAGTGAGAAGGTGTGGTGGAAAAGGTGAGAAGAGAATGGGGGAAAGTTGGCCAGAGGTACTGAAGGGTAAATGCTTCTGGGGGAGGGGCGTCATCTGCTTTATAAGATGCTTGGAAGGAACAAAGAAATCCAGTGACAGGTATTTGCTTCACTATGGTATCATGGAGGTGCCTTCAAGAAGTATGTTGTGTGGTTGGTACAGACAGACTCGGAGGAGCCCCTAGGAAGGGTACCTGACCAAGACTTGGAGAGAAACCTTCAAGTGCTGCCACACTGAGCAGGAAGTATCAGGTTCTAGTGGTGAAGCATGTGCTCCTAGAAGAAAGCACACATATGTAAAGTCCTCAAGACATAAGAGTATGTTGGCCTGAAAAAAAGGAAAAATAGGTATGGCTGGAGTCTACCGTTGAGGAGTTGACCATAGGATAAGGGAGCAGAAGTTGGGAGGTTAGCTAGAGTAGACAGGTCTAGGGAACAGTGATCAGGTGATGGGGAATGGAAGGGTCAGGATCTGGAGTCCTGACCCCTGTTACTCCAGTGGTTTTTGTGGGTATGGGGGAAAGACTAATTAGAAATTAGAGAAGATAAGCAGAGCTGGGTGCCACTGCAGCTTGGGAGACTGAGGCAGGAGGTTCACAAGTTCAAATCAAAGCCAGCCTAAGGAACTTAGCAAGACCTTGGGTTTAATACTCAGAACCAGAAAAAAATAATATTAAAATAGGAAGAGGGGCTGGGGGGCTCAGTTGTAGAGCGCTTGCCTAGCATGCGTGAGGCACTGGGTCTGATCCTCAGCATCACATAAAAATAAAATAAAAGTATTGTGTCCACCTACAACTAAAAAATACTTTTTTTAAAAAAAAAGAGGAAGAGAGGAAATGTTGTCAAACTTTCTTAAGAATTTGAGCTTTCTTAAGAATATAGCTTTGATCCTAGCAYAGAATCCAGCCTCTACTTCTGTCTTGCCACTTCGTGCCTGGCCCAGTTGAGAAGCTTTCAACCTCCGCTTTCCCCATCACCGCAGAGTCAAGAGGAGCCAGGTCTGAGGACTCCTCGTACATTGGCCTCTCTTCTGCTGAAGTGCTCTTGTGCCTGGCTCCACTTAGGGTGTCTGTGTTGGTGATTGAGCAGCCCCTGGATAGCCTGCCTTCCCTTGTGGTATTGATCACCTTGTCACTCCTGATGTGAACATCAACTGTATCCTCCAAGACCTGGATCTTCCAAGGAGCATGGACCACAGCCTTTTACTTATTTAATGGCCTCTCTCAATTATTTAGCATGGCATCCTTCATGTTGAATATATAACTTAAAAACCCACCAAATACCCTGAGAAGACCTTCTGATGGACTCGCACAGCTGAACGAGGCCATCAAGAGGATTCCTCCCCGCCCCCTGTCTAAATATGAGGACGCAGGGCTAGAGTTGTGGCTCAGTGGCAGATAGAGCGCTTACCTAGCATGTGTGAGGCCCTGGGCTCAATTCTGAGCACCACATTAAAAAAATCAATAAAATAAAGATATTGTCCAAATAAATAAATGTGAGGACACAGACACAGCAGGTTACCCTAAAGCAGGAGGATATGGCCCAAACGTAGGCCCCTCACCCCAGGGCAGTGCTCTTCCCCTCACACCATTCGTCTTTTACTGTGAATCCACAGGGCAGTGGTTCATTCTTCCTGTTGCTGAGTTTTGCTCTTGCCTCCTCCCTATGTTTTGATTTTTTTTTTTTCTGAAAAATGTTTCTCTCTTACCTGTTGCTGAGTTTTGCTCTTGCCTCCTCCCTATGTTTTGATTGTTTTTCTGAAAAATGTTTGTTTCTCTCTTGAATTTATCTTGGCTAATGTTTGGCGCCAATTATCTATTTCAAAGGGATTTCTGACATAACTTCAGGTATCCTTATAACGCACTAGGAGCTCATTCCTAGGCACTAGGCACCATGTTCCCTCCACTTCTGTGGTCAGTCATTTCCCCTTGGTCTTCAGAGTCGGGCTGCCTAGGTGCCTGGCGACACTTGTTTTCCTTGGCGGATCTGCAGTACTCTAGATGCCTGTTTTCTCATATTTCTGAGTCAAAACAATGAGCCTGACCATAGTTCCGTCTGAATAGTGTCTTCTTAGCTCCTTAAAGCAGTATTTTGTCTTTCAGGAGTCTGGTATGTTGGTGGTATCATGAGATTTCTGAGTCTTGATCCTGAAGACACATTCCTTGAGAACTTGGAATTTTATAGGCCGTGTGCTTTTGTCATTCCTGATAATTTTCTTATATTCTAAGTTATTTTTCTGGTGCTCAACATCTTTTCTCCTTCAAACTCTTCAGTCAGTTCTGATTTATTTCTCTTGACTTGACACATATGTTACTTGTTCATTTTTTTTAACTGTTTAGTGCATTTTAAACATTTTTATTTCAAAATTTATTTTGTTATAATAATAATTGTTTCCTATGGTATTTATCATTTAATTATAGAATGGGTCCTATGCAGGYGTGTTTCTACTTCATCATGTGAGCCTATTTCAGTTATATATTCTTGGACTCTAAGATTATGTAAAGATTCTATTTATAGAACATTTCAACTAAATCTGAATTTTCTTTTTATGCCACTAATTTTCTTGGTCCTAGTCTAACTTTGAGTGATGTAGGAAACTGGCTTCACACATCCATCTTCAAAGGGAGAAATACTGTGGGTTCTCATACTACCATCTTGAGGAACCTTGCCCAGTCATACTCATATTCTCTTTTTAAAAATGATTGAAGTGTGCATATTTTTTCTAAACTTTTAATGAAACCAAAATGACTTATTTTTGTATTTTCTGATAAGGCGATCCTGAAGATATTGGAAAAATGACAGCTGAAAATAAAATTGTTGTAGACAGAAGTGACCTAATCCCCAAGGTGCTAACTGTAAATGTGGGTGATGAGTTCTGTGGTGTGGTTGCCCACATTCAAACACCAGAAGACTTCTTTTGTCAACAATTACAAAGTGGCCGTAAGTAAATTGTCTTGATTGGTTGTATCATAACAACAAACTTCATGAGACTCAACATGCAAAAATAAATTTAAACTATACCTTATCTGTTGTTGAAGATGTGATCTGTATCTGCAGATAAGCTTGCTGAACTTCAGGCGGCACTCAGTGAGTACTGTGGTCAAGCATCTCCACGCTCTGATTTTTATCCGACCATTGGTGATATATGTTGTGCTCGGTTCTCAGGTAAGGAAAGAGCATCATTGAAAGTTTTACTTATAGTTGAGTAAAACTATTGAAACATAAACATTGGTTCACACTGAATAGCTACATTTGAAGCTTAAGTATTAAAGTGTGTCAGTTACATTTTTAAATACGTCCATTTAAACTGGATCMAAAGAGTGTGGATCAATAGGTGTGAGGGCAGAGAGCCCGTGAGCATCAAAGGGGTGGATAGAAAGGATGTTCTTATTATTATTTAGTCTTTGGAGATTGGTTTAGATAGTTCCATTTACATAAATATGGGACGTAGGGACCCACCTTCCCCCGACACACACATTCATGTCTTTGCCAGTTTTATTTGGGATAGCACGAGGTCTGGAAGCCTAGAGCTGTTGTGTGCAGCCTCTGCAGCTGCAGCAGTCTTGCCTTGTGATAGTCTATTTCTGTTGCTGTCATTGAGGGGGAGGCCCTGCTGCCTCATGGAAGGAGAGGGGCAAGAACAGGGCAGCCCCCAGAACATGAGTTGTTTGGCTGGTGGAGTCCAGTTGACTCATACTGTCGGTGTTCTAGAAATAGCCCTGCTGAATGCCTTAGCAAATGGTATTGATCAAGACCTGGGAATTCATGTGATCAGGACTTGCACTCCATCCTACWGAGCTGTCCACTGAAGACATAATGCACATAAGTAAATAATGATAACATATGATTAATTAGCAAGCTATTAATAAAGGTTACGTTTTAGGAACTGAAGACTTCAGGTAGCAAAACGGACAATGTTTAGTAAGCAGACATTTTTCAGTAAAGCTTGTTATTCTGTTAAAGTAAAACTTAAAAATGATCATCTCTAATGTGAGGAGTTTTTATTTTTATCTTCATTAGAAAATTATTTGAGACTGAGTCTCTTTTTGTTTCAGAGGATGACCAGTGGTACCGTGCCTCCGTTCTGGCCTATGCTTCTGAAGAATCTGTACTTGTTGGCTATGTTGATTATGGAAACTTTGAAATCCTTAGTTTAACAAGACTTTGTCCCATAATTCCAAAGTTGTTGGAATTGCCAATGCAAGCTATAAAGTGTGTGCTGGCAGGTATGACATTTTTATTCTGTCCCTTAAAACATTAAACCCTAAAGATGAAAATTGAAACAAGAGGCAGGGAAAACATGCTTATCAAAACAATAAGAACRTTATGATCACATGCTTAAGAATTGTTACTATACATGTTATTTTTCTCATTGAGATTAGGAGTCTCTTTCCAGATCAGTAAATTGGCTCCAGCAACTTAAGTATACCATATTTTAACTAGTATACAGTATTAGGTGTTTCCAAGCTTTTGTTGTTAGTAGTGTTCTTTTGGTTACATTTTGCATTATATCTAAGATTATTTCCTTAGGGTATGTTGCACAATGTAATTATATTGCAAATGCTTCTTTTAGGACAAGCTCCCCCAGGTGGATTGGGGGTGTTAGTGAGTGTGCTGCTTTTCACATGTACATCTTCCTCCAGGAAGAGTGGAAGTAGTTTATGCAGCCTCCAGAAAAGCACAAGAGTTAATTTCTTTACTCATTCATGCACCACAGAGATAGAATTGGCTAAGGTGATATAATATAAATCTGATAAGTTAAAAGCTAAACTATTTCAGCCTTCTTCAATACCAGAAGTTGAACTCTTTTTGTAAATGACTTGGCTCTTGTGTTTTATGAATTGACTTAGGCAGAACCTCACCAGTATTGATTTGTAAGCAACCTTTCAGTACTGACTTGTGCTATAGATGTTTCATGTGTTAATATGAGATCAGTGTTTCTTCTTGGAATTTTTTTATAAATTTGTTTATGATTTTCTTAATAACTGTATTTAGTTATGATTTATACACTATCAAATTTAGTTAAATAATTTTAAATTTTAGTAACTTGACCAAGTTGTGCAGCCACCACCATGCTCCATGCTCCACTTTTAGAACATTTCCATAACCCCAGTGAGATCTCTGTGCCTGTTTTACTGCTAAGCCTTGCTTCCCAGACAATAGCTACTGTATTTTGTCTTTGTAGAATCTGCTTTTCTAGACTTTTCTAATTGTGCTGCAGTTTATACAATGAATCAAAATCCATTCTGCTGTCATATATACACAATTAAAATAAATATATATGACTGCAGAATGGATTTSGATTCATTGTATACAATTGCAGCACAACTTTTCATTTCTTTGGTTGTACATTCTGGACATTTTGTATCAATGGGAATCATGATTTTTTAAAATATAGAAGCATAGAAGCTTTTGGGTATTTTTCTTAATTCTATAATTTTCATATTTAGAAAATCCTTTTGYTCAGTACTGTACTATTTAGTCCCAGTGCTTGCCATAGATTTAAATTAAAATTGTGGAAATGAGGAATGTCAAAATATTGGTTTCAGGAATCATTCTAACATTTAAAAAATTCTTTGTTAGGAGTAAAGCCATCATTAGGAATTTGGACTCCAGAAGCTATTTGTCTCATGAAAAAAATTGTACAGAACAAAATGGTCACTGTGAAAGTGGTAGACAGGTTGGAAAATAGCTCCCTGGTGGAACTCGAAGACAAGTCTCTGACACCCAGTGTCAGTGTCACCAGAGCGCTCATAGACGCAGGCTTTGCTGTGGAGGAAAAGGAGATGGCGACAGATAAACCCAGTGGCGTGAAAAAAGCCAGTGGCAGTGGTAAGTGAAGTGCCTGTGAGGTTTGGCSTCTGTGCTGGAGTTCAGGTGGTTCTGCTGGTGGGTTCTTGTGCTTAAGAGTGGGTGTTGAATGCCTGTCTTCCCCCTTATTTATTTATTTGGTACTGGGAATTAAACTCAAGGGCATCTACCACTGAGCTACTTCCCCAGTCCTTTATTTTTTATTTTCAGACAGGGTTTTGCCCAAGTTGATTTTGAACTTGCAGTCCTCCTGCCTCGTCCTCTCAAGTCTCTAGGATCACAAGCATGTGCCATTGGCCCAGCTATGAAACTGGCTTTTTAAGGTTAACTTTCCATTAAAGTCACTCATAATATCAGTGGAAATTTACTTCTTCAACAGATTTCTGAGCAACCCACTTCCTGCCACAGCCTCCCCCAACTCTATTTCTTGTGCAAAATCTTTGATTACTTTTACAGTTCCCTTGGGTATAGAAGAAGTAAATCCATTGAAGTGGACGTGGGTTGAGCTTGCTATTGACCAAACAGTAGATGTTGTGGTCTGCGTGATGTATAATCCTGGAGAATTTTATTGCCATGTCCTTAGAGAGAATGGTAAGTTGACTGCTCTTGTTTGTTTCTTTTTACAAATACATTGACATATATGATAATTTATGAGTTTGTTAATGATAAAAGTATTCTCTGAGAAGGTCCAAATGAGAATTGGTATTTCTAAGAGAGATTTGGTTATACTTAGTGGGCTTTTATTTGTCTTAATCTATTGTTTCTACTTTTACTAACCTTTTTTTATATTTAAACCAATATAGATTGCATAGAATGTCTCCTAAATTCATTTTTTGAATTAAATATAATTATTGATTTTATTGACATATTACACTCATGTGGATAATTACCCACATAGGAGAATAGCATAATGATTATGACAAGGTCAACACACTTTAGTGTGTGCATTTCTATGGATGGGATCCAGGGGCTCACACATGCTAACCAAGTGTTCTACCACTGAGCTACATCTTATTTTGAGGCAGGCTAGTCTCAAACTTGTACTACCCTCCTGCCTCAGCCTCCCAAGTACCTGGGATTACAGGTATGTACCTCTGGGCCAGCTAAGGTCAGCACACCTCTATAGCTGGTCTCTAAGTCAAGATATAGAACATTACCAGTATCCCAGAAGTTTCCTTTATGTCACCTTTTATCATTGCCCCTTCTCTTTTTTCAAAAGGAAACCCTATTCCACCTTCTAATAGCATCAATTAGTTTTTCCTTGTTTTGTACTATATGTAAATAGAATCATACAATACATGCTTTTTTTTTTTGTTTGGTTTTAATGCTGTGAGAGTGGTGTTGCCTGTAGCTGTGCCTATGCCACACTCTGTTGTACTGCAGCCTGGTATTCCTTTCTACCATTGGATATCTGTCTGGCTTTCAGTTGGGGCTATAAAATGATATTGCAGTGAACATTCTAGTACAATTTGGTAATCATGCATTTCTGTTGAGTCTATACCCAGGAATGAAATTCCTGGGTCATAAGGAGGATGCATGTTTTCAAAGCAGTGAATGCCAGTTTCCAAGTGATTTTGAAAATTGTTAGAGATTTCTGATTGTTCTGGATTTGTACAGACTACTTTGTATTTTCATTTTTTGTTTAATTCACTCTGATGGGCAGCATTGATTTTTAACTTTTCTAAAATCCTCTGTCAGATTCAGACATTAAACTAGATAACTTACATTCCATTCTGAGGTTTCTGAGTTTTGTAATTCTTTCATTCAAAATCACCTGGTTGATGGGACCACTATTTCCTATAGTGAAAAACTAATTTTTTTCCTTTTAATTTATTTTCACAGGTGATTTTATAAGCATGTTGGTACAAAACTCAAAAGTTAGTAAAGAGTATAGAGTGGAAAGTGAATTTACCACTTCCTTTCCTCAGTTTTCTAAATGTCTTTTCAGAAATATTTTATTCATGGTTACATGATTTCTTTATTCCTAACTGATAAAACAGTGTAAATCACTTTCATACTTTACTTTTCTCCCACTGTATCTGGTAAATAAGTTCACATAGTGATTTCTCCATTGATTTTCTTTTTGATGCATTTTTAATTTGGGAATTATTTACAGAGAATTGGGCAGAGTGGTATGGTCCTGCACACTTCTCATACTTAAGTGTGACTTAAACACTTTAGTAGTTAACACAGGGCATGATTGTGGTGCATTTGTTACAACTGAGAGACCAGCAGTTTGTCACTAGCAACTGAATGCCAGACTTGGCTTGTGTCTTGCAGGGTTTCCTCTCATCCTTGCTGTATTCCAGGTCCAGCCCAGGACACCTCATTGCTGTTTAGTCTGCATTCCACTCTTTGTCAGGGTCACATGTCTTCCATCACATGGATTTATGCTAGTTTAATTAATCTAGATGTGGATGAAGAATTAGTTTCCAGGCTTTTATTACTAAAATGCTCCYTGTACTCTGTGATTTTACTCTAATAGTATGTCCTTGGGACAGATTCTGAAAATTGTCATCCTTGGGTCAAAGGATATGTGGCTGGCCAGGAGCCCTGGAACAGCAACAGTGTGCCCTGTTCTAAACCCTTTCCAATGTAGAGTCCTCACACTTTTTAATTTTAACTAACCTGAAAGGTGAAAACTCTAAACTCGTTATGATTAAATTTCCATTTCTTTGAGCCACTTGGCTGGCCCTTCACTGCTGCTTTACCTTACATCTAATGCGCTGCATGGTCTGTGTCTTCAAGCTGCTGCTGTTCTGCGGTGGCTCCCCTTTCTATTTCTCTGATCTGCCAGGCTTCTCCTCATCGGATGGTTTTTGGTTGCCTAATTCTGTAGCTCTGTWCTGTGTCTCAGAGCCGCTTCTGCTTTTGGAGCACCCTTTGCTTTCCAGCAAATGYTCTGTACTTCTCTGTAAAGCCTCTAGCAGGAAGAGCTCATGAGCTCTCTGAATTCCCTCAGCTCTATTAACTTTGCTGTCAATTTAATAACTATGTTTACTCTTTCCAGGACAGCTTTTATATAGCTTTATTTAGGGTTTATGTCATGTTTCCTGTCACCTGCAGAGCTCATGTTGGTATACTGATGATAATGCTGTAGGATTGTGTCTCTGCCCAGTAAGTCCTTGATATTGGATTGAGAGTATTAACAATGACTTTTTGCTTAATAATTTTTTGGTAAGAAAAAAGATTTGGTGCACTTAATGGTTGTTTGAAAAAGGTTTTTGTGATCAAAACATTTTTTGACTTTAAAGGAAAATTTGTGTTGGTATTTATTTTTTAAAGAGAGAGGGGGGGGTGGAGAGAGAGAGAGAGAGAGAATTTTAATATTTATTTTTTAGTTCTCGGCGGACACAACATCTTTGTTTTGCATGTGGTACTGAGGATCGAACCCGGGCCGCACGCATGCCAGGCAATCTCGCTACTGCCTGAGCCACATCCCCAGCCYGGTATTTATTTTTAATATTAAATGCTATACATGTGTTTTATTTTTAGCTTTAAAGAAGCTCAATGATTTGAATAAATCATTAGCAGAATATTGCCAGCAGAAGTTGCCRAATGGTTTCAAGGCAGAAATAGGGCAACCTTGTTGTGCTTTTTTTACAGGTAAGCTGTCATTTTGACTATTAGAATCTTTTGTTTCTTGAATTTCAGCTTTCATTTTTAGTGTGTATTTTATTTCTAGTTTTTAAGCACGTTTCTCATAACCAAAATTAAATGAGTGCTTCAGATATCAAGTGTTTTTCCTTTTAGTAACTCCAAGTGACACGTTCTTGCTAAAACCTTGGTAAACATTATTTCAATGCTTTTCTTTCCAGAATTTCTGATATTAAATTAAGTTAGTAAAAGAGCTGTTTACAGAATAGAATAGACAATATGATTGATGTATGTACATTCCATGTATGTATTATATATCAAAATGCATTCTACTGTCATGTATGACTAAAAAAATAAATAAATAAAATTTTTAAAAAAGAGCTGTTTAATACAAGGTGGTTGTTTGTTCTGGTCCACCAGTTGATGTTAATTTTGAAAAGAATGCATTGGAACACATTTGCCAGAGTTTCAGTGCAAGAATCTCTCTATTCCTTTTATTATTTAGCCAAGTAACAGGTAAAACAATCTAAGCCATTAGTAGTATTATAAGCCTTTACCATTAACAAGAATGTTCAAGTTTTACCTCCACTTTCACAGTTCTGCTTTTTTGGCTAGCTTATGAATGAAATCTTTATATCAGATATAAAATTGTGGTACTGCAAAAGTTTTAAAGATAATTCTAAAAATGGATTTTGAAAAGTCTGAGTCTAGGGATTTTTAGTGAAAATCTGGGGAAAAGAGCAGACTTATTAGCACTTTATGTAAAGGTATTTTCCCCCCAAGATAAAACCTTCAGACATTAACAGAAGGGAAGTGTTCCACATCACCAACTTTGTGTTAAATCCAGGCGATGGTAACTGGTATCGTGCTTTGGTCAAGGACATTTTACCAAGTGGAAACGTCAAAGTGCACTTTGTAGATTATGGAAACGCCGAGGAAGTTACTACAGATGAACTCCAAATGATACCATCAAAATTTTTACAACTTCCATTTCAAGGGATACAGTGCTGGTTAGCAGGTTTGTATAGAATAAAATTTTTTTAAAAAATTGTTTTTGAGAGAGAGAGAGAGAGAGAGAGAGAGAGAGAGAGAATTTTTTATTTTTTAGTTTTCAGCAGATACAACATCTTTGTTATGTGGTGCTGAGGATCGAACCTGGGCCGCACGCATGGCAGGCGAGCACGCTATTGCTTGAGCCATATCCCCAGCCCCTGTATAGGATAAAATTTTTATCAGCTGTTTTCTACTATCAGGATATATAGCATTCTAACTAGTTACAGCTATAATTGTAACATTTTATGTGACGGATGTCTGGAGTTGATGTCAGACAAGGGGGTGGTGGCTGCTGCTTTCTAGTGACAGGAGTGAAAACACAAGAGCCTCCTGAAGGCATTTTGCAGAATTCCTTAAGAGCCTCAAATGTTCCGAATTTTGATTTAGCAACTTTATTTCTAGTAATTTATCCCAAAGCACTTTGGGAGTGGCACAAAGTTCAGCTTTAAGGAAATACATTACACTGCTGCTTTACTGATAGCAAAACAACATCAGTTGGCTAAATGATAATCTGTATAGTGGCTAGTGATCGTACTTGTTTTATAGGGTTGTTGTGAGGATAGATTAGTGTTTAGACATTCAAAGTTCCACTTATGTGTTTGCATTCTGTCATAAAAATGAAACAAAATTGTTAAAAGGAAGATTGTGATGTAAGTGAAGAAAGCAAGTTTAAAAAGAGATGCAGGACAGCAATGTGATGCAGAGAACAGACTCTAGAGTCGTCTCTGCCACTTAATGACTGTGACATTTATGCAAATTATTTAAACTTTCTGTGCTTTCATTTCCTTGTCCAGAAAAGAATATTGCCTTCCTCAGAATTGTTCAGAATAAATGAGATAAAAATATAAAGCTCTTAACTGTACTTGGCATCATACCTATATTCACTGTTACTATTTTTCAGTGCTGGGGATTGATCCCTGACCTTGCAAGAGCTAGTTGACAAGCACTCTACCACCAAACTACATGCCCAGCCCTTTTTGTTTTGAAAAAGAATCTCACTAAATTGGCCAGACTTGCCTAGAATTTTCAGTCCTCCTGATTCAGCCTCCCAAGTAGCTGGGATTACAGATGTGAACCATCATATGTCTGATTTATAAACATTTCCTAGAGATATGTGTGTCTATGTGTGTGTGAATATACACATGTTTTTCCATCTGCACATAAAAACTGGAAGCAGCCAGGCACARTGTTGCACACCTAAAGTCCCAGTTAACTTTTTGGAAGTTTGGATTTCAAAATGTTAATAGTATATGTTAGAAACCATAGATAATCATCATCTTATCTTTTGTCTGTTTTCCTTCTATACATAAGTATATTTCTTTTTWAAAAAATATTTTTTAGTTGTCAATGAACCTTTATTATATGTTATTATATTTATTTTATTATATATTATATGTGGTGCTAAAAATTGAACCCAGTGCCTCACACATGCTAGGCAAGCACTCTACCATCCCTTCCAATAAGTATGTTTCAGATTATTGTTCTTAATTATCATGTTTTTATGTCAGTGCTTTTTAAAATTTGGCCCCAAAATCTAGCAGCATATTAAATGAGAAATTCTGGGGCAAGACCCAGAAATCTCTCTCTCGCTCTTTTTTTTTTTTTTTTTTTTTTTGGTACCAGGGGTGCTTAATCACAGAGTCACATCCCAGACCTCGTTTATGTTTTACTTTGAGTCAGGTCTGGCTAAGTTACTGAGGCCAACTTTGAACTTTCAGTCCTCCTGCTTTACCCTCCCTAGCCACTGGGATTACAGCATGAGCCCTCTTGGCTGGACGGAAATCTGTTTTTAACAAGCCCTCTAAACTGAATCTATAATTCAGCTCCATGGCTGAATTTCAGATAGATAGATAGATAGATAATTGAACAGCAGATAGATGGATAGATAGATAATTGAACAGGGTAAGCAGTTACTCAGAATTGCTGAATGGAATGGCAAGGACCCATCCCTGGCTACTACTATGGAAGCAAAAATGCAGCTTATGCATTGGATTCTTTTTATTGCTCTTCTTATTTTCCAGATATACAGCCTAGAAACAAACACTGGACTAAAGAAACCATAGCAAGATTTCAGATGTGTGTTGCAGGGATAAAACTCCAAGCCAGAGTGGTTGAAATCACTGAAAACGGGGTGGGAGTTGAACTCACCGATCTTTCCACTTCCTATCCCAGAATAATCAGTGATGTTCTTATTAATGAACATCTGGTTTTAAAAGCTGGTTCCCCACACAAGGACGTGCCAAATAATAGACCTGTTAATAAACGKAATCATCAAATTGACACCCAGGGGCTTCAAGGTAATACTTCTTTCYCTTTTTAAAAATTATAATTCTATATAATAGTGGAGATTATTGTGATGTATCCATATGTTCATACAACATGATTTGTTCCATTTCATTTCTTTTTTTAAATTTTTTTTTAGTTGGACACAATACCTTTATTTTATTTGTTTTTATGTGGTGCCGAGGATTAACCCAGGGCCTCGCACGTTCTAGGCGAGTGCTCTACCGCTGACCCACAACCCCAGCCCCTGTTCCATTTCATTTCTTACTTCACCTGCCCTCCCTTCCTTTCTTCTCTGATCTATTTATTATTTATTTTAACTGGTACATTATATTTATACATAAAGTGAAATTCATTATGATCTATTCTTACATGCACTTAAATTGGTTGATTATCATTTCTCCGTTTCTCCTTTTAAATCATGTGTTATTTAAATTTGTTAGCCTTTGTTTTTATAGGCTATGAAAATTCTTCTATCTTAAATTACACAATTTTCCTGTAGAGATTTTCTTTGTGAGTATAGATTAATAATTGGTTATTAAGCTCCATATTTATTGAAATATTTTTAATTGATCAAACATTGTACTCATTTTTTTGGTTATCAGGTAAATGTATATCATATGGGTATGTATCTCTTAAAGTTTGAGAAAATTTGAAGAATTATATTAAATATACTACATAAATGTCCTTTGGGAGTGTAATAGTTCAAGGATTCTCATTATAGACTGAACTTTTTTTTTTGAATAGTATCCATATAATCCCTTAAATTGAACAGATTGTTTTGTGAAATACAGATTTTTCTTTTTGGGAATTTGGGAATGCTGATAATCAGCAGTTGATGAACAAATTGATTTGAACTAATAAATCACTGGGAAAGAAGAGTAAATTTTATCCATTTAATGCAAAACCTGTGTTTTATGACTTCAGCCACCTCTTCAGCAGAGAATTGGAAGACTATAGAATTGCCAGTAAATAAAACTGTGCAAGCAAGCATACTAGAAATCATAAACCCAAACCTGTTTTATGCCATCCCAGATGAGATGCCAGGTAAGGAACCAAATGGATCAACACATGTTTATTCTCCTCTTTTAAGCTGTGCAAAGAAAGTGATCATCGTGAACTCCTCAGGAAGTGAAGGGAAGAAGAGGTGGGTGATGATTTTTAAGGAAGAATTGATCATAATGACTTAGGGCAAGTTTAGTTCCCAAAGCACAGATGTGAACAGAAAGGGAGCATCCTGCATCTATCACCCTCTSAGTGGCCTGGCCCTGAAAACCTACAGCTTTTTGTACTAAAACCAGTGCCCTTGATTATCATATAATTTTTTATTTAATATCATGTTATCTATACTGAATTGTATTCACTGAGCCTTACTTCCTACAATCTTTTGAGTTTGAACCAAAACCACTTCAAATTTATTGAAAGACTTAGTAATAAATTCCTAATCATATTTTGTCATATCTTAGAAACTTGAAATATACTGGAGATAATCATGAAGAAAATGCATGTTGAAGTGATTTTTAATTTTCCTTTTCTTCGTTTCATGGAAGTTTACAATTGAGAATCTCTTAAGTGTATGTGAAATTATTCTTAGTATCTGAAGGTGAATTTGGTTCAAATTGGTGGTGTCCATTGAAATAATTTGTAGCTGAAATAATTAAAAGCTGAAAAAAATGAACCTTTCTTTCATATTGGCAGACCTAGAATTGTAGTAATACCAATAAAAGAATTGTAGTAATACCAATAAATTCTTAAATTTATCTCCAGTATTACAAAAACCATCTTTAATCCATATTGTAAAAAGCAGGGATTCAGGGTTATTTGATCCTGACCACATATGGCATGATGAATTGGAAATAACATTCAGGATGATTTTATTAAGTATAGGACACATACACCTAACTGTCATAAAGCACAGTTTAATAAGATTCATGGAGTGAACACATGAATGTAACCACCTGATCAAGAAATGGGCCCTTCATAGGTTTCTTTCACGCCTCCTCCCAGTTTTGCATTCCTTCTGCAAAAGGCAACCAATAGTGGATATATTTATTTTGAAAATATAATGTAACCAGGCATAGTGCCACACACCTGCAATACCAGCTGCTCAGAAGGCAGAGGCAGGGGCATTGTAAGTTCAAGGCCAGCCTGGGCAATTTAGCAAGAACTTGTCTCAAAATAAAAAGGGGTGGAGGATTTAGCCCAATTGTAGAGAACTTCTGGGTTCAATCCCTGGTACAAGCTCTACACACACACACACACACACACACACACACACACACAC